TTAAAATAATTTAAACAGAACCCCACAAGCTAAAACTGAACTGAAATAAATGCTGAATATTATGTCCCTATTATGAAAGATATCATTTCATGGAAATAAAAATAGAACCCTTGTACATGTACATGCAACTCCAAAGGGGAATTAACGATCTACATAATTTCAGTTCAGCAGTGATAATTTAAGCAAAAAAGTACAACCATCTCATGACAGGCTCCATGTGGCAACAAAACCATGTGCAAATGCTTGCAAGCAGAGACATAAGTTTTTTTGTAGTAAATTTCTGAGACAGATCAGACACGATCTACATGCTCTTACACTGAGGAGTACCGTAGTGCACACCTTTGTTTTGCCCTGTACATGTACCAATGAAAACTGGTCCACTCACCCACACAAAGTATGTTGAAACTAAATCCCTGGGCTACTGACTTGTTGACCAGCTGGTCAGGAAGACTATCAAACCCGACATGACCTGAAAGACGGAGGTCACGACTCCTGGCATCATCAACCTAAATAAATGATGAAATAAAACAGCACTTAAAATAAAGTAATTATTCTGAAATGACCAATCCAAAATATCCGTTTATATAAGGCGAAATGTTCAGTATATGCAGTGAGAAAACAGGTATTTGTAGCAGGTTTTGGTGTTACGCACGAGTTAGATCAAGGGTGACGTGATATCATTGGCAGTGTACTGTGTAATTAAAGAGATAAACAATGCATGATGTTGGCCTGAAACAAACTGATTTGCATCAACGGAAACCTACATGTACATGTACTGTAATTGCCTTTTGCTTACACCAACATGCACAAGAATTATTGTTGGGCATTCCAAGAATGCCAAAGGAAATGCAAATTAGTTTTGAAAAAGCAAAAAATCAGGAGAACAAAGCCGAAACCAACCTCCATTGAGCTACACTGTACATGTATAATTAAACAGGTATCTGGTGGAAAACCTGGCAGTTAACTTAAAATTGAACTCTAATAAAGCTCCAATTTTAGTTTAAAAGAATTAATTTGAAGTCTCTCAGTTGGGATTCTAGTTTGAATTAAAAGTACATACATACATACATACATGTACACTACACCTGAGTGTCTACAAATGTACTTCAGCTGGTGAAAAAACAGAATGATTCATATAGTGCGTCTCCAAGAGTTAGCAACGCATTGGCCAATCACAACGCGCAAAGCCTGTTTACCCTTTTCAAACATGCATTGGGTCGACAGATTTTGCACACCGTGATTGGCCAAAGCGTAGCAAACTCTTGGAGGTGCACTATTGTGAATCGCACAATCATGAATCGTATTGAAGCATTACTCTTTTTTAACTGAAGCTTTTGCTCGTAGGTGAAAGTTTTTTGTCCAAATTTACAAATCTAGCCAACGGTAAACAAGATCTACTGAAAAAACATAAAAACAGATCTTTCTCAAAGTTCCATCTGGACACGGAAAGTTGACATACAGGACAGGACAACATTTGCCCCAACTAGTGAAATGTGACAGTTTTCAAACTGCAAATCGATGTCGCTGTTTGTCAGCAAGAAAAACAAAATTACTTTGGACCTTTAACAAATTTTCAGAAGCAGAGTCTGATAAAAATAAAGGGCTTTGTGTCAGATAATGGATCTTCTGATGAGATGATCTTGGAAAGGGGAGATTGATCTTGCTTATTATACATGTACATGTCTCTTGTGGGTAATTCTAAAGTCTTCAAAATGTTGATTAAATGACATCTTTTGTTGGAATTGGCATGCTGTGTACTCACACCAAGTTTTGATTACACCTATGTACATTAACCCTAACACTCCTCAATCTTTCACCTGTTACAGGATTGAGGACTGTTAGGGTTAAGCATACCAGTAACATGTTCTAAAGCGGACAATCAAACGTCATGTGTGTGAATTTGAACGTCGTGTTTGTGAGTTTGATCGTGTTTGTGAGTTCAAATGTCATGTTTGTGAGTTTGAAAATCGTGTTTGTGAGTTCGAGTGTCGTGTTAGTGAGTGGTCAGGAACAATTTCATGATCATTAGCATGATTTTTTTCCTTGATAAAAACAGGATTACCAACCAAAATGTTCATGTGTTGTATATTGCTTGTGACTGGTGTTCAGGTGATGTTTGCTCATCATTAACACGACATGGATTTTTGGCCGGTGACCTGTTTTTCCAGAGCAAGACAATACTGTGCTAAGCAAATTTTTGTGCTTAGCAGCTTCATGAAATTGGCCCTGACCAGTCACAAACACGAAGTTCAACTCACAAGCATGATGTTCGAACTCACACACACAACATTTGTAATTCACACACACGTTTACAATTCACACACACGACGTTCAAACTCACATTTTGATGACATGACATTTTGTTTGTTTTGTGGTGAGACTTTTTTGCTTGAATGAGGCTTCGTCTATTGAAATTAGAAATGGTATCATCCAAAAGTATTGAGAAGAAAATTCCCTTTCAAACGGCGCCAAGAGCAGTTTAAAAACTACTCTTTTTTCACTGTTGACCCCTCATCGTCTTGACGGCTGTTCCATGTCAAGACATCTAAACTGCGTGTATTAGATATGTCTTGACATGGAACAGCCGTCAAGACGATGAGGGGTCAAGTGACATAATGTTGAATGACCTTATTTTAAAGATGGTGACTGTGAAAGCAAGCCCGTGAGATTGAATGGGTGAAGGCAAAAAGACTGGAAAATACCAGAACAACGTGAGTGAAATCATTCAGTAAATGGCGCTAAGAAGGAGAGAGGCTAAGGATCATCTCTGTGGGCAACAGAAATTGCGCCCACGATGATAAGTGGGTGCGCCGAAAATTTTCAGTACGCCAACACANAAACTGCCTATATGGATGTGTGGTTAAGGATGGAGCGGGAGTGAGAGTCCGGGCCACACTAGTGGGGCTACATGTACATGTATATGGGTTGGTGCTCGTACATGAGTTGGCATGGGTATGGGTTGACCAGCATTCATTTCATGCACATGTAGGGGTTTTCATGATTTTGATGCTGGGAAAACATGTTCAAACTTTTACAAGTTCACAGAGGTGTATGAAAAAAGGGGTAGATGTATCTTCGGACAGGTCAGAATGTCGGCAGCACACATCCACTGTTTGGGTCTCATAATGACAGGCTGATAGGCCTAGTCTGGCACTGTAGTCTGTACATGTAGCCTATTGCTGGTACATGTACACTTATATATAGGCCTAGTGGGTCTACATGTGTGGACACTGTGGTCCAGAAAAAAAATCAGAAATCTTTAAGGAAATATGCAAAACAAATTCAAATATCTTATTGTCTTATTTTATTTTATAAGGGTTCATTTTATATCAAAAATTTCATAGGTTTAGCAAAATTCAAACCTGAATTTCGCCATTTTAGGCTAAGGTTAAAATGTCAAAAATGACAAAATGCAAGCACCTTATTAAAACGATTTTTAACATTTTTACTAACACTAGGCCTACACGCGATGAAAGTTTATCCGTGTTACCAATTATTACAGAAAAACAATCATAACGATCACGCCAATCTTAAAAGAAGATACTAAAATTAAACTCTGACTTACAGAATTTTGTCTATCATCCGTTGGGGCGTGGTTGTCACTTTCCATCGTCATTTTGGAAACTCCTCTGTCCACAGTCCAGTCTTTTCTTAACTTTCCCTATGGTACCTACTGCATACAGTCTAGTAATGGGCCGGCCATACACAGCATGCACATGCAAATGTACTGTGAAATCCACCAAGTGGTACTCTTTGCCCTACACATGAACAGTATAGTAAAGAGGTGTGGTTACCATTGAAACATTTCCAAATCAATCAGTAGAGGGCAGCAGATAGACTTTACGGTGGTCACTTGTTAACATCAGACATCAGAGGGCGACAAACAAAACTAATGGTACCTTGGGCCGTTTTCCAATACTCAACTTCGTCTCCGTCATAGGCTTCGTGTAGGAAACCAATCCTCGATTGTGGGCCTAAAGCGTTGAACTTAGATTGAAATAATATAATGTTTAGCTCTTTTTCATCTTACTTGATATTTCGTGGCACTATCAGACTTACTATTGCACTTTTAACCTCAAAGTCAGGAAGTAAAAAAACAGGTGTAGCCACAAACGGAGCTCAAGTCGAGTATTGGAAAACGGCCCTGCACAAACCATGGCCATTTTCCGATACTCAACTTTGTCTCCGAAGGAGGCTTCGTCCCCGAAACCAATCTCCAATTAAGGGCCTGAAACGTTTAAATTAAATTGGATTACTGTACTGTTTAGCTCTTTTGCACCTTATTTGATGTTTTGTGGCACTATTAGACTAATTAGTGCGCTTACAGCTTCAAAGTCAGGTAATAAAAAAACAGTCGAATTCTCAGACGGAGCCGAATTGAGTACATGTATTGGAAAACGGCTCACTAATCAACAAATGGGGGCGGCAGATAAGAAAAAGTATAGCGCCCTCTACCGTTCTGTATTGAAAAAAGTTTGTCGCCCTCTATTGGTTGGACTCAGCGAGGAAATTAAAGTTTTGTATACTGCCCTCTAAGGTTAGACTTTTGATAACTTTTTGAACCAAATTTGTCGCCCTCTATGTGCACTCATCTTAAAATGACCACATGATATAGCGCCCCCATCGTCGTTTGTAGCAAAATTTGTCAATTTTTCTCGCCGCTTGTTAGGTGTTATGTGAATGTTCACTTTAGACTGAGTATCGATAAGTCATGAAATTTAAAGTTTTCGATGAGATTCTTCTGAATCTTTACAAGTGTGACACACAAAGAAAAACTTTGCACTGAATCAACTAACTCCAAGCCAATATTTGAACATGAGCCATGTGACACTCTGTCTTCATTCATATTGTGAGTGATTCTGCCAAAAGTTTTAGACCCAAAATGTAAACAAGACAAATGTTAAAAAAAAACAAAACCTGAACACCCCTCCTTTCCCTGTCACAATTCTCATAAAATTTAATGGTGAATTTATTTTGCAAAATGTCTGTAAATCCTACAAAGGGCCAACACATAATAAAACGTGGTTTTACGACTGCAGCTTTACAGCACTGTGAATTCAAGGACTCTATCAAAATAGCTGGGGCCTCTCTTAGGACGGGAATTCAACTCATCACGATATTGCCAGCTGAAGCATTTTAAGAAGAGCAAAAACTATGAGTTAGCACATCTTGGGAGATAAGGATGCTCTTCTTGTCTTTCTTGTTCCACTTCTTGTGTTCCGCCCAATCCCTTCTCTTTAATCCTCTTCAACGCCCCTGGTTTTGTAGCCTAAAATGATTTTGATAAAAGCAACTTTGTTCCCATTACATCACAGCCAGGTTTTTTACACAACCCTTGAAAGAATTGTACTTTTTACAATTTACAACATGTACAGAGAGCCTAAGTATGTTCAATGCTTCCAACAAATGTCAATTAATTGTACACAGGAGCATAACTCAGCACATGAGTTCAAAAGAGGATGTAAAAAAAAGTCTGCACCACAGCCCTGGGTAAAAAACCCCAAAGATACACACACAAAAAACAGAAACCAAATCGAGAACAGAAAGAAAAGACATCTTGAACAATTAGTCATACTAAAGACCTTGGAAAGAGTTCCATATATAGACAACACTAAATTTCTCTCTAAAGGTTATAACAACCATCAGAAAGTGACAAGCCCAACAAAGTGAAATTTAGTTGAGGACATTCTGAAGCATTTACCTAATAGGTTTTTTCAGACAATCTCATAGGTTTGTACACAGGGCCATCAAGTGTTGTCCCTATATGGAACTGTTCCCAAGACCTTCTATAATAAAGTCCAAATGAAAACATCATTCCAAGATTGTTTACTTTGGAGGAAGAAACATTTCTTTTGCTTTCAAACTCCCAACTTTCACATTGATCTGAATTCCTCAACAATTTGATTTCCCAACTGCGCCGCAGCAGCTGTGGTTAGAACTGAACTTTTAGCCCTCTATATCAATGCAGTCAGCTTCGACAGAAACACTAATTTTAGTTCTGTAAATATCAGGGAAATTCCTTAACAGTGAGCATGTCCTGCAGGATGTGTTTGGCAACATCCAAACCATGCCCAGCATTGACAAACTTTGTAAAACTGAACGATGCATTCTTGGTGACGATCCTGCATCCAACCTGAAGTCAATCTGTCGAAGCCAAGTCGGACCGAACCCTCCAAGAATCCTACACAAATAGACTCTGGAGTTGACAGGACTTGGGCTGGTCAGGGTAAACAAAAACTCCAGCTGCAACACAGCACGAGCAAACACAGACAGGGGAAGAACGGTTACGTTTGTATGTTCCTCTTCCAATGAAAGCAAATGTATTTTCATATTTGTTAGAAACTATTTTGTGCCAGTAAACACAACCCAGCTCCTCGGTGCTCTACGTCATCATAATGCCCAGAGTGAGATTTCCAGGGTAGTGAATACAAATGCCCTAGCAATGATCTCAGTAATACAATGACCCCTACATTCCTGCTGCGGGTGGACACGGGGGTGACATTGCTGCTGGTTACAACACACCTCCACACATTGCTGTCATGTACAGACGTAACAGGACTGTGTACATGCTACAAACCTATGGACTGTCACTCTTTCCAAGAACCTCTTGCATATAAATATCACTGTGTGCCTGACATGTTTCCTTGTGGGTTTCCCAAATCTAGTCTTGATCTCCGCTGTGGCTTCAGTGTCATAATTAAGTCTCCGCATGGAGAGCTATTTAAGCTCGAGATACCATCTTTTTCAATTGATTGGGAAACCTCAAATTGTCTGAAATGAGACCAAGGCTGGGAGGATTCTCATTTGCTTCAAACAGTAAAAGGTCAAGATTTGACAGTGAAGCTCAAGACAGAGCCAAAGACTATGCAAACCAAAGATTTGCAAAAACCCCTTCTTTCTTGCAAGTAGACCAACACCGGGATATTACTGTCCAACCACAGAGTCCACAACTGAACTGATTTGCATTAAAAGACGTGAGAATTTACCTGTCTTTCAACTAGAAAAACTGTACAGAGATTTCAGTACACATCTTGGGCACGGACCCTGAGAGTCATAATCAGAAAGCACAGTACTATTTGACATAAAGGTTGTACACAGCAATAGTATATTGTGAAAAGGGGTCTATGCGCTCCGAATGTGAATCAGAGAAGGGGTTCGATATGCAATGTGTGTGGAGTGGTTGACGGGTGACTTTTCATTTGAATGTGCACAAAAACCCGGCATGTGCACTGTGTTCAGAAGACATCAGTGGCACTTAGGCCTTTGCCTAGTGTCTAGAAATGAGGGCCACGGAATGCTTCGATGCAGTTGAGTAGTCAAGGTTTTTATGAGAACATTATATTCTTCCCTGCCACTTGGACCAAGTTCCATTAGCAACCGTTTGTCAACTGCGGGTCACTTTTGCCTGGTAACCTATGCACAAACTATGCCCTATGTACCAGGCAAAAATTCGACCGGCGGTTGGCAGACGGTCACTGACTTGGTCAGAGATGGAGTGGCCAGCGAGGCGGTTTATTCTGAGGAGTACTCTGGCACCAATGAGCTGTTGCCATCGTCTTTAGCCGTGTCCTCTGAGCGTTCGTCATCTTTCTTCCCATCTGTCTCTTTCTCCTCATGGTCCCGTCGTGATCGCTTGCTGTGGCGGTGACGGGAACTCCTATGGGCCTCATCGCTATCATGTCGTCTTCTGCAACAATCCCGGTAAGAAATTAATTAAGACAATGACTTCAAGAATAAATGTAATAATCATAAATTTTTAAAATTTATAATGCTCCTTGGATCCGATTTCTTTTTCGTTTAAGTCCTGACCTGGACATTGCCAGATTATTGTATCGTAATTGGAAATTTGATGTTTCACTTCAAGTTTTTGGACCAAGTTTCGGGCCCATGTCGAAATGAGTACAATGATAAAGCAAATCTGTATCATTGGCATAAACCTGTTCTACTCATGTCAGGAACAGACTGATTGACAGTAAGGATCGCCACCTCAATCTCAACACAAAGCTGTTGGCAATGCTCTGTCCAAAAAACGCTTTTCAAAAGTCAACATCTGCTTGTAGACATTATCAAAAGGTAATGATTTCACACAAGCCTGTAAGAACACTTGGCCCTTTGAATGTTTGGTTAAAGTGGTTTTATTTTCTCCTGTGAATGACAAAATTCATGAACAAGTCTTTGGATTGCACTCCTGTTCGATTGGTGCCACAAGCAAACTATGACCAATGGGGAGACTCTGACAGAAGGGGACGTTGGAAAGATGTGGCCAATTTGGGGATGAATGATCGGTCAGCCACTGTGCAGTGAATGACTTCTCTTGAAGCCAGTTCCCCTCACCTCCTCGACTCCTTGCCGTCCCGGCTGTCTCTCCCCCTGTCTCGCTCTCTGTCCCTGTCTCTGTCTTTCTCCCGCTGCCTCCTGTCCCGGTCCCTGTCCCGGTCCCTGTCTCGGTCGCGGTCCCTGTCCCGGTGCCGATCGCGGTCCCTGTCTCGGTCCCTGGGGCGCGACCGGTCCCGGTCCCTGTCGCGATCCCTCTCCCGGTCTCGCGACCGGTCCCGATCTGACCGGCTGCGGTCTGGAGACTTTCTGTCGTAACTGGGCAAGCAGTGGGAACAAAAACCAACCAAGACTTGACTGAGCTCAATTACAAACGACGCACATATGAATGAATTGCAACTCCATAAGTATTCTTCTGACTCTTAAGACAGGCCTTCCTTGGAACTATCTTCCACAACCTTCCACAATGCAAGAAAACCCCTGCCTCATTCCCTGTACTTAACTTTCAAACAGCATCAAGCCTTATGTAAAGTACAAGAAGCTGGGCTCTACCTTCCTCAATCCAACACAAACATCAAAGCGTTCCTGTTGGATTTTGAAAGATTTTGGCAGGTTAGGATATTTACAAATGAATCAAGGAGAGGCTGTCATTTCAAAATGATGGCAATGATTTCATGCTTACTCTTCCCGACGGTAGCTCCGTACTTCTTTGTGACGATAGCCGTCCTCACCACTACTCCTACACAAATAAAGCGAGAGAGAAACAGTCTATTTCAGCAAAGGATAAAAACACTGAAAATCGCAAAGACAAAGTTAACAGTGAGGTAAACAACAAAACTAGACAATGAACTCAAAGTTTCTTGATGAAAGCAAAGACCTAGGAAGTGGAATTTTTTTTAGATTTTTTTAGAGAAAGAATTTTTACATCACAACACAACCAAGTAAAAACTGTACTTTGGTACTGGAAACGGAACACAGGGAACCAACCACTGCACCCGGTACCCAGTTCCATGTGAACAGTTCTACAAGCTGAAAATTACTTGAAGAATAGTAAACTCAAATTTCCTACCATAAATCAATAGTCAACTACATTAAGTACACTGACTCACTGACGTAAAAAATTAGGTCTTCATGACTGAAATGCTGCTCAAGGTCAACTCCAAGTGTGGGCCAATGACAAAGTCAAATGGTTTGACTTGACCTTTTTCTTTATTCGAACTCTCCAGCTGACCTCTAGAATATATAAATTGGCACAGCCCTAAAGCTGCCCACTTACGTGCTGATGTCACTCTCGCTAGTTGGGCTCTGCCCCCTGAAGTAGGGCGTGGGTGTAATGCTGGGCCCTCTGTCCCACATGTCAGGGGGCGAGGGGCCTTGGCTTGGAGGCGAGAGCCCCTGGTTGTACTGGGGTTTGTAGGACTGGTTCTGGCTAGTGGACTCTGCAAGAGTCAGGAGAGGTGAGCATTTCTGTGGTCAATATTTCTCCGTGTTGATTCAACCTTTTGTACTTACCTTTCCACAGCAATGTTGAAAAATTTTTGATCAACAGAAAGACTGCTCTCTTCAATTAAATTATTCAAAAGCTGTTAAAGGTATGGCAATGGCCTCTACTGTTGGTGTACTAGATACCGATCTGTACTGTGAATAATGAATTAGTTCGCATGAATGGAATTCAACTGCATAGTTCAGGTCTATGGATCTATGTGTTTATCAATGCCAATATTAAGTTTGTCAGTAAGTAAGAGACCAGTCAACGCAAAATCACAAAGAGGGCATGCTCTTAACTCCAAAAGACCATCTGCAGTGCTTGTCAATTTTTGGTCAAGTTGTTTAGGAAATCGTTGCTATAAAGAAACTTCCTAAATTCTCCTGTGCAGAACGCCAATGGCACAGTCGTAGCCATTTTCAAGGCTCGTCTAGTCCAATGTATTATCTCACTCCATATATATGGCTTTCTTGGCTACTTGTACTGTTTGATGTTCTTGTAATAAAAGGTCTATCCCTATTGAGCCAGATGTACCACCTTGAAGTTTGAGAAACGTGTCTTGGCCAAACTTACCATTGAAATAAGGCGGCCTTTCCCCAAAGTTAGGCGGCGGTCTCCGGGCGTCAATCCCCTGAGATCCTGGCCCGGGGCCCGGACCGATCGGCCCTGTCCCACCCATCTGATTAGGGGGCGGCATGGGACCCGCCAGGGAATGCGAGGGCATGCCACTCTGCTGAGGCGGAGGCATGCCCCCTGTAGGGTGGGGGTAACTGCCCCCCTGGGGTGGGGGCATGTTCATGTTGGGTGGCGGCATGTTCATGGGGGGCCTTGGGGGCCCGTTCTGGCCGGGAGGCATGGGGCCCCCGGGACCAGGAGGAGGGCCCCGCGGTCCAGGGAAATTCTGTCTAGGAGGGGGTCCGTCTAAAAAACAACAGAAACAGAAAAAACGAAAACTGCTGCAGAGATTCATTCAACAGTGATCATTTTACAGTTCAAGTAAGCAGGAAAGTCACTCTGCTAAACAGTTTTGCTTTGAACATCATACCGTTTATCCAAACTAAGCAACCTAAAGCTTCAAAGAACACAGTGATGCAAACAAAGGGCATATTCATTGTACCTGATTATCAAGCACCACTGTAAAGAATCAAGAACTGGGCTGAACACATTTTTATCCTAACCTGACAATTTAATAGATAGCCGGGGCTTTCAAACAAAAATTGCCCGATTAACTTGTGTTAAAGACACTGACACTTAAAAGCCAGCTATATACAAAATGAATCATTAGTCACCAGAGTAGCTAGTGCATCGGAACCAAACCCTGCAATGTAACTTAACAACACTCTGTCTACTACAGGCCGGGGGGTGAGTGGCCACTTCAAAATAAAAGCTGAAAACAGCTGGCAAAAAGCTGAAATGTAAAAAGTGCCCATACTTTTGTACAGACCAGGTGTACAAAAAAGCTGAAATTCAGCGTCAACATCTACACACAAAAAAAGGCTAAAATCAGCTTTAAAATGCTGAATTCTCACGCCACTGTACAGGATCACTTACCAAAGCGCTGAGGAGGAGGTCCGTAATTCTGTGGGGGTGGACCAGACATATTGGGATGAGGCATGTTCATCCTGGGTGGTGGAGGGCCTACAAAGGGTAAACGAGTTCAAAAACGACGGTCTTCCAAATTATGGTAGGCATATTGTGATTCAAACCTTGTGTTACATCAGCAGTTATGCTTGCATGCAAAACTGAAAAAAAAATGCTTCAGCTTTTGTGAAAAATACAAGATTGGGCCTAAGGGAACAAGGCATCGTGTTTTCTTGCTGAAGGGGCACTGGCATACTTGAAAAGTCTGCAGACCTTTTGGGCACCCAGACACTTCTTAAACCCTGTGATGTAGTTTCAAGTTTTCATAACGTGGTTGCGTGACTGGCCCGTTTTGCCCAGGCCGGTATCATTTTTGTGGTTTCGGAGCGCAAATTCCTTTCTAATGGCATTGAAAATTGATCAGAGGGTGTCCTCTAGCCTCTGCAACTATTTACACTCGCAGAAAGAAGGTAAATGTGACGTCCCAGTCTGTCGCGATTTGAGGGGTCCACAATAGCCAAGCCACCCGGCCAAGCCACAATCAACATCCCCCCCACCACCACAATGAAACCAACCAAACATGTTCCTAAACACATCAAAGAGACCGAAAATGCTTTTCTGGTATGGGTCGCCCAACAGTAACAAAAGACAGGCCATGGCTTGGCCGGGCGCCATCCGTGTGAATAATCCCATGGGGCTACGTGGCAGAGACGTTTATAGACGATTGAAGAGCAGAGGCCGGCTTGCGTATTTTATTTCCTGGATAAGGGGAAGCCCTGACATTAAAGGTTCAGCATGAACAGAGGTAATATAAAATGGGAGGTGGTTGCATTTGGCCGTCAAATTTTTCTAATTGAGTAACTAGCAAAAAGGTACTGGAAAACTCAGGCCAGCTACTCTATGCAGGGTTTTAAACTGTCTTGTTGAGTTCTTGAATGGTTCATGAGTATAAAGTGACTGAATTATAACACAAATCCAATGACTAAAAAGTAGCTTCTGAATTAATAGGCATTTTTATCACTCGATGTGCAGCCCATGAATGCCAAAACTCTCAAACAATCCTCCCGGGGGAAAAGTTCTTTTCAAAACAAAATGCTGGTTGAGTAAGCCCTTGTAAGTGAGCTACATTATCCAGACTGACCTGAATGTGGAGGTGGCATCCTTCCAGGTGGGGGTGGACCCCCAGGCCTCGGCGGTCCCCTGGGGCCTCCCATGGGACCCCCCATGGGCCCAGGCCCCCTGGGTGGCGGTGGTCCCCCAGGCCCCGGGGGTGGCCCACGGGGACCAGGGGGTGGTGGGCCCCCAGGGGGTCTCTGCATTGGTGGTGGTCCCCCAGGGGGTCTCTGTGGGGGTGGGGGACCCCCCATGGGGCCCATTCCCATTGGGCGGGGGCCCTGCATGTTTGGAGGTGGCCCCTGCATGCTTCGCGGGCCGTAGTTGGAGCTGGGTGGGGGCTGGTTGGGGCTTGCAGGAGGAGGTGGCCCCGACATACCAGTCTTGTTACTGATTGGCCAGAATAAGAGAAAAACAGTAAAAGTGAGGCAATTCGAATGGAAGCATGTCTCTTTCATTGCATCAATTGCACCACTATGTGACACGTTGTACGCAGACCTTGTGCACAAGATATGTCAGGTCAAGGTATGACAATCCCTTACAGTATGTAGTCACTCCGAAGGGTGATAGATAATTGTGCATTGGGTTGGAGTTTAATCATCTCGTTAATTCATCATTGACACACTGTGCATGAGGACTGCTAGAACTTACAAGCTATTGGTCATCTTTTCATCACTTCCCACCACCTTGATGCTCTGCATTGCCTTCTGATCAGCTTCATTCGGTCTCCGTCTACCGGCTATGGAGCCAATCACATTGATTGGGCTTGGATACTCACTACGGCTACCCTGCCGTGTTGGGCTGGGCTTGATGTCTACCTTGGCTGTTCCAAAACAGAACAAAAAAGGCCATCTAAATACAACATCAAATACAAATTCGTGCAATTTGTAGATTTTAAGTCCATAAATTTCAGAGCATGCGGGAAAATGGGACTAAACTAGAAATGCCATAAGAGTATAAAGAATCCTACAGGATGAAAATTAATGGGACACTGACATTTTTCACCCATCAATGTCTGTTTTCATCCAGATAGCAAACAGACTGATACAGCAAATTCAGCGATTAATTTGCTCTTGCTAGGGGCAAACTGAAAGAAGTTTAATGGAACTCTGGCTTAAGACTTATATTGTGGGATCCGGACACAAAAGTAATGCATTTTTAGATATTTAATAAATTTTTCAAATTATCAACATCTACTCACCAGTTGAACCTTGGCTGTCTTTAGAGTTCGCAGAGTCCTTAAATGGGCAGAAAAAAGATTTGCAGTTCACATTCTAGCACATATCTACAGAATCACGAAACCATGTTTTTAAAAGAAGTCATATTTTTGCTGCAATTCTTGTAATAGATCTCGAGAAATACTGAGAGGAAGAGATGTATACCACAAAGAAACATCAGCAACCTTGTTGAAGTGGGAATTTATGTCTGGAAGTGGCAATTTTTTTTTACACTTGGAATTTACATAGCATCGGGTTACACTTCAAGGAATAATAAGTGGGCTCTACATTTTTCTCATTCTTGCAAAATCCCCTAAGGCTTACCAGGTGCATTCAAAACCATCTCAGAGAGATAATTTTGGACAAACCATAAGTAATATGTACTTTAGATGGAAAAACTGAATAAGCAGGTCTCATTCAAAGCTGCACCATTAAAACATCTTGAAACATCAAGACTTAGGGCAAAGACATGCTAGAACACTTTTGGGAACAAAATACTAAAATCTAACAAAAAGTCTCACGTGCGAGAAGCTCTTGCCAGAAGGATCGCCACGTAGGCTGTGCTGCTTGTTGCAATAGTTCTTCCACGTCTCCTCGTTGAAGTTGTAATTGAAATAATCTGTCAAATCGGCACCTGTTAACGAAAGGCCGTTGGCCATCTTAGTCTATTACACTCAACTCTGTAGCGACTCCACCCCGAGATGAAGAGCATCCTTACCGGCGGAGAAAAGACAGGGCGATGGGAAGTTTTTCGACTGGGCTTATGAACACGCCTGATGCACACGCAAAGAGCATACACTCTACGGCAGGGTCGCGTATGCTCATCACATCCTGCACTAAACTTGCACTAAACTGTTCTACCAAACGACAGTCTCTGCTATAAAAAACCACGCCCTCTCTCGTTCCAACTCGGAGCCAATGCCGTCCCCACTCTTGAAAATGATCCAGCTTAAGTATACTGCTCTGACACAAATAGCCGTTTATGGAGTTATGGAGGTCCAAATATGGTGTGCGGTGCATGGTGTCACACGTGCTCAATGGGAAACCGCTGCAACCAGAGGCCAGCGGCTGCTGTAAGTGCCTATGTTAGTTTAAGTCACAACCACAACTTTAGGACACAGCCTTTTTGCATTTTTTTTTCACCAGCATTGGGTGATCCTAACAATCTCACCTGGTTTCCTCCAGGGCTTGTCCACGACTGAATCCAGGTCAAAGGAGTACACCCCTACTCCATTAATGGTACCTTCCGCCTCCAAATCCACCCCTTTGACTGGTACTTTTGGAACGGTCACCGCTGGTGCTGAAATAAAGCAGGGGAAGTATAATGCCACACAGCGGTAATTTTTCGCTGGACATTAATTCCACTCTTTAAAGCAATTAATTGCCACAGAAATCCAACTGTCTGTGAGAATATTTCAAGGGAGGTTGTGACAAAGACGAGAGGAAATGAGAAATTTCTAATGTACAAGTCCAGGGCTGAGAAATTACTGTTCGTCTTATTTGTCGATGGAATCAATGGGCACTGAATGCACTGAAATTAAAAGGTACAAAATTAACGGCATGACCCAAACATTCATAAGGGAACTCATACCCTCTCACAGATCATACGAAAGGGGTCAGGTTTTGGAGTGTTCTGGCGAGATAGGAAACCAGAAGCCTGCCACACAAATATCAATGGAGACTTCACCACCTTAACAATTTTGAGGACCAAACAAAATGTGCTGTTGGGTTTCCGCACAGTGGAGACCATCCAGTTCACTCTGACAAAGGGTCACCTCTAAACTGTAATGCAATTATGGGTATTTCACTACCGTCACCTGAAACAAGCACGATCCAACAAGAGTGAAACCGGCTGAATGAAAAAAAAAATCTAACAGGGTGAATGTGAAGAATTCTAAGTCTGAAATTTTGTTCAGCTCGATAGAGTCTATTCACTCTTGGACACGAGAGGCTACAGTACAGTCAGGGTTGACTTGTGGCCAGTGACATGAATCAGAGACAATGTTAAGAGATGGGTACTCATAAGGCAAACGCTGGAGTGAATGGTAGATCACTCTAACAGCAATCTTACAATGGCATAGCTACCTTGAGGGGCTGTAGCTGAGGTCTTGTGGTACGTTGAAGTCTTGCTCAGACTGTGGGCAGGCTGGCCTCCGTATGAGCTATTGAATGACAGACAAATGTTTTTAGTTGGTGAGTTCAGTATGGTAGCTTTCAAGTCTAAATAGGTAAACCTTCAGAGGGTCTTACTTTTACATATGTTGTTCTGCAAGACTTAAAAGCATTAGAGACCAATCCTAACAAACTCGTTCTAACAAAACCATTGAGCAATCTTCTCAATGAACGGGGTTCACAGTCAAGGTGAACTTTCATAGCCACGATACACATCAAGGACTTAATTTCAATTTCAACCGAGCCATGCTATGCAAAGCAACCTACAAATGGATGGAAGCAGCATCTGAAAACTGAAAAGGGACACTAGATCATTGTCAACATCATCAGTTTGCGGAGAGGGGAAATACAGGGAGGGGGGGGTTTACCCCATGACCCTTGACCCTACTTGGTCATCACATGCCAGGCAACCTACACGTGGATAAAGGGAGCACAAGGCCATGGACTCAACAGGAAGTCCAGACACAACTCTGGTCAATTTTCAGGATGGAAACTTTAGCAGAAAGCCCTAGAGCCCTACAACCTGTGATCCCTCCCAACGCTCCCATCTCAGACTCACCTGTAGGCAGGGGCTGCCTTGATGTCCCCGATGGTCACCTGCACGTCGTCATCATCTTCACTGTCTTCATCGCTGTCGTGATCTGCAGTTCGTCCCATGTCCTCGTCATCCTAAACGAATAAGGTAGTGAAACGGTGAAACCAAAACTCATTTATCACATTCCACATCCAAGTTTATCCCCATGTAAAAAAAAAATTACAGAAAATAGCAGTGAGGTGATACTTGTATAAAAAACTATGTTATCCTTTACCCTGATGCTGCAGGGTCCAACAACATCTAGCTGCAGGCAATAACTCTGTTTAACCATCAAACATCCAACTTGAAGCATCACGTACATATATTTGTGTACATCAAATTGGGAACACCTAATTCAAGCTGGGAAAATTACCTGTTCGAATGTGTTCAAAACGAAGCATTTTGAGAGAGAGAAGAAAAGGCAACACTGTAACGACTGGGAGAGTTCTACAAGAACATGGGCATTGAACAGTCTGAAAGGACCAGGAGGTTTCTGTAGCAGACAGAAGCACTGTGTCGGGAACAGGACCTTTGCCAATTCAGTGACCCTCCCTTAGATGCTTCTCGGAGTCTTACCATTTCTCCTTCCTCTTTGTCTTCCAGCTCAGGCGGGCCATCGTCAGCTAGCACTAGAGGTGGGGCATCTGGCTCTGCAGTTGGACTGACCAGCGGCTCCGCCTCGGCAGGGAGTGAGCTCGAAGAAGCCTCATTCTCACTAAACAGGATGAGCAAAATTAGTTTCACACAAGTTGCAACTTAGAATACAAATGCCTAAAAGCCAGGATCCATTACAAGTCCTCACCACTATTTTAATGAGTTCACTTCTATTTGGCCAAGCTCCTGGGGCTTGACACTGTGAAGGATGGATTTGCGCCGGGGAGATGTTAATTCATTCTTAGATTTTTGGCCCTGCCGGACGTGTATTATAACACTGTATGCTCGGTGTTTGCCCCGAAGGCTTGTAAAAAAAACCACCAGCGTGCTCGGGTGGGATTCAAACCCAAGACCTCCTGCTTACTAGTGCAGACGTCTTAACCACTCACCGAGCTTGCCAGTGTGGACTGGCTGGTTCGAGTCAGATGCAGCAGCGGGTACTGCGAACAACAATTTCCAAGGATGGACTTGCGCCGGGAAGATGTTAATTGATTTTTTAAGAATCTTTTGCCTGCCCGACGTGTAGTACAACACTGTATACTCCAGGCTTCTAGTTTTAACACCTTGTTGAATTTTGGCTGATTGGAATGGTCTGGGCTCTAAAAATACCCCAGTTTTGGTTTGTATACTAAAATGTGGAATAAGCCTTTTGCAAGTTAACTTTGAATTACATCTGGCACCCTGAGTTATCGGACTGCACATACATGTAAGTGTAACAATTTGACTTCCCCAGACTAAAGACACTGTTGCTATACCTCATATACCCAGCAAGAAATGAGACCGAGGGGGACCCCCCCAACATGTCCAATCCCTATACACATTCCAGACTATTGTTACTTAATACATCCCCCCAAGATGTCTGAAAGGAATTCCCCAGATTCCTGCGAGACAAGGACCAACACAAAGCAGGGGGGTTCTCTCCATCTCATACCTTGCTGCATATGTTACCTCATGAGTTGAGGCAAGCTTTTGCATAGCGACCCCAACCTCTAGAATGGACTGGTCCCTTTGTGCTCTTCTTATCCATTAAAAACAGTGGGCTGATGCAAGGCATCTGTTTAATATGTAACACGAACCACGAGGTATAGCGACAGTGCCTCTAGTACGAAGAACTGAAATTGTTATGTTCACTTGAATTTAAAGAACACAGTGTACCAGATTTCATTCAAATTATAACTCGCAAACGGTTTATTGCATGAGGCGCTGTGGTTTAAGGGATTACACTGGTAGAAATGTTGAGGGAAAAGAAGAAATTCTGACATCCCCTTTGCAGAAAAAATTAAGCAATTCCTTGTTCTTGATTGGGGGATTTTGAGTGGATGATTAACGATGGGCTTCCCTCCCCTCTGCCCCCCCCCAAAAAAATCAATAACTTGGGGTTGGGGTCAGATTCTATTAAAGTTGGACACTTACACTTCTGCTGGCAGCTCTGCTGTGTCCTCCTCTGTGTCTGCGGTACATAGAACATTGAAAAAAACCAAAATCAGCCACATTTTAACAGACATGCTTGGTCTAATCTATAGAGAACAAGTATTCTGTGTTCTTGAAGAGACAAAAATATTATTTCTCAAGGAGGTAATAAGTATAAAGCTACAAGTTGAATTGAACAGCATCCAGAGTGGTGACACAGTTTTTACAAGATTCTATCTCAATCACAGTGACAGCCTTCTACAAAAAAAGTTCCAACAGAGTGAACTTCAGGAAAACATCTCTTTCCAAATTGCATTTATGCATCAAAACTCACAATGCGCTTATGCGAGACACTTTCACTTTTAAACAGATTTTAAAAACCTGGTCATATTTTGTAATGGAAAAGAGGTATTATGGTAACACGGACCCCTGGAACCCCAGACCATGTGAGTCGATGTGGGTCAGTTTCCTGCATCCTATTCATGATGCACATCTCCAACATGGTGATGCACATCTCCAACATGGTGATGCACATCTCCAACATGTTGATGCACAAACTTCTCAATTTTTGACGTACCAACTCCGGACAACAACGCACAAATATGACTCATATCATGACGGACAGAGAGACACTGGTAACAAAGGAATATCACGGCTATCTGTGTAGAGACCTGTGTTATACATACGCCGGACACCAGGCCATAGATTTGTCAACCTTCTGTGAAGTTTGGGCAGCACAAACTAATACTGTGGATTGTTGCGAGAATGATGTTGAACTTGTACAACACGTGAAAACGTGAGGTGGGTCCGTATACGTACAGTCTCACTTTTCTGTTGTGCTGATCTCTCTGAACTGTGCACATTCCTATGGACTGACTTCCTTTTTCAGTGTACTGGGATATCACACTGGCTCCCTAGAAAACTGCACAGCTCGGAGAGATCAATACAGTGGATAAGTGAGATCCTCTGTCCTGGCGCACAGATCAGTGTGCAGTTTAATGCTTTCTCCCATGGACACCAATGAAACCTTTACAGGTTGTGTCAAGTCTGAAGCTGGCCAATTGTCTTGTTGCATGATTCCCGGATTACGCGAGTTACAGTGCTACAATACCTCTAATCACTTTGGTTGGGCAAAAAACTAAAAAAGTTTCTGCTTCCAATTACATGCCTAAATGGGCCTGGGCCTAGGTCGAAAATTTTAGTTTGGTCTTTTTTTTTGTGCAGATAGAATGGGAAAAAAAAGTTACCTAACACTGCCACAGGAAGAGAAAAAACTTGCCTGGATGAACATAAAAATATCCTACAGCAGGAAATTTTGTGAAAAAAGTTACTTAAACTGCTGCCAAAGTTTTGGAAGAGCCCATTGGTACATGTAGTATCTTATCGCTCAGTCCGTGTATTACATATGTCTTAACATGGAACAGCCGTCGAGACGATAAGGGGTCAAGTGATGTAATGCTCAACGACCTTATTTTAAAGATGGCGACTGTGAGAGTGAGCCCATTAGATTGAATGGATAAAGGCAAAAAGACTAGAAAATACCTGAATAACGTGAGTGAAATCATTCAATAAATGGTTTTTAGAAAGCGGAAAGGTCAAGAATCATGTTTGTGTGCAAAAGAAATTGCGTCCACGATAAGTGGGTGCACCGGAATGTTCAATACGCCGACACGAAATTGTGTATATGGATGTATGGCTAAGGATAGATTGGGAGTGATAGTCCGTGCCACACTAGTGGGGCTAGACTGGCCTACTCCAAAATGTCTGCAATGGGCATGGAGGGTCTTAACCATGTTGTTAACAGTTACACCAAGTCTTGCTGACCAGTGTGCGATATGGGCTATCATGACGGTTAATAGAAATTGATACATTCTATAAGTTGCCAATAATAATTGTGCAGTCCTTGATTAGGCCATAAACGGTGGTAAAAACTCGAGAATATGGAACTCCAACCATTCATGCTAATGAGTCCCCCCCCACGTGTCGGAAATACAATCTCTTCCATTTATTAATGTGCAACAACGCATGTGATCGCGCGTGCACACTCACCGAAATTTTACCCAAATATTTCTACTCTAAATATTTCTATTCCTACTTTGAGCTCGGAAAATATGACTAAGAAAACCAGAAAACAATTTGCACCGTGTTACTGCGTAATAAAAACGCACAGTGAGAAAAATGGAGCGAAAAATTACCTCCATACAACCATTGTTCTTCGTCCTCGTCGGCCATCTTGACGCTGATTGGCAAGGAATTGTGGGAAATCTGTTAGTAACCAGCTGAGCGAGCCGGCTCAGGTCGGCCGGCCAGCCGGCGCGGCCGGCGACCGCGGAGCGCGCTCGTTCTAATTAAAAAAAAACAATTAAAGATGCAGCCAAGGGTTGCAAATTTGTTTGAGTAAAATGCGAGATATGCGTATATGTTTTCCCAAGGATATGTCATAACTTATGATGCTGATCATAAATATTTCGGGGCATGCCAAAAAAAGGGAGGGGGGTAGGATTAGGCCTATAAACCTTCAAATATTGAATCTATGTTCCACCCCTTCTAGTTTCGCTTCCGGAACGGATATCTTTTTGTGTGATTTATGACACTCACTTATTTCGTAACGTTTCAAATAAGTTCAAACTCAAAAACTAGATAGTTTTAGAGTGTTATTTTCACTTGATGCCGGCTCCACCTTGTGGAAATATGAAATATTTCGTTAATAACGAAGGGCTTCAAGTATGAAGTACAAAAAAGAAACAAACGGAGGAGAATATGCCAGTTATTTTGTTTATTTATTGCAAAGACACACACTCAAAAAGTTAAATATCAAGAAAAATACTAGTGGGCAGCATATCAATGCCTTAAAATCATTTTGGAGTACCAACTCAGAAAAGTCAACTTTATTTTCCTGAAAGTGAACTTTCCAATGAGACTTGGAAAAAACATCCACTTTACAGTTCAGAAAAAGGTTGCATAGACACACATCGACTTTAATTTTCTGATTACTTCATGACAACAATGGTTCAGGAAGACCTTTCTCAAACTTAATCATCTTCACTTTTTTTAATCTATTTATTATTCCAACTACAAATCCAACTCCAAATCTTCTCACCCTTCCAACTGTCTAAATTTTTCATCAATTCTCTTACAGACAACTATTTCATGAGTACCAATTCATGTGAATCTAAAACATCTCATTTGAGGAGATCATCTTTAACATTTTCTATGATGACAAGGCAATGCTTGATACGCTGGTTTTAATCAGGATCTTCGGTTTAATTATTCAGGATGGCTGAAGATGTGGCTGCTGGCAAGTACAGTGACAAGATCACAGAACTGATGAGCAAATGGCAGAGCTGAGTTCAGAGGCACTGAAAGAGTGCACACAACACTTATGGTAATAAGCTGAGGGGATTTCAATGCAGGTGTACTTATTTATCTTTTCGTTACTCTCAAAAAATACATGCAATCGAGTGTTTGGGAGCCTTTTTTACAGATAGCTGTGCAATAAACAATAAAGTACAAATAACTCATCTGGAAACTTCCGTTTCAAACATGTACCCGTTCTGACGAGATAACACCTTACTGAAGAATGGTAATTGCCAAAGATTTCTCTGCTGTTCTGCATGAAGGCCAGGCCTCATGAACACCAAGGACTTACTGACGGAAAAACCATCAGAATGAAGTTCAAAACTGTGCAAAAATAGTACCAGAGCTAATTTTACTTTGTGCATAAACGATGGCAAGAAACACTGCATTTCACAGTACTTCACAAAATGTGTACTTAATTGCAAATCCAGTCAACACCGACAGTTGTTTAAATGTCATATTATTTCACCTCTAAGATACTTCCAGTGCCGAGCTACTCCTTGTTTTTCTCACTATCGCGGCTCATTTCTTTAGAAAAAATATCGGAGCTTTTCTGAGCTCTCTCACTTCAGTTTTGGCCTCTTGGCCGACTGTTCGTGAGAGGTCTGGACGAGTTTGTCGTGGACCTTCATCAGCCCCTTGAAGTACTTGACCGTCTTGACTCGCAGCTCCAGCGTGGCATCCTCATCGCAGATGAAGATGGTCTTTGGGTGCTGCTGAAAGGCCGAGACAGTCCACATGTGGCTGACCCCCTCTTCTACAGCTTTGTACAGGGCAAAAGCCTTGTGTGCACCAGTGATGATGATCATGACCTAACAGGGCAAAATGTGGTAGACAGGGCACCTGTTTATGGACTCATTTCAAACACGGATGTAGCGGCAAACACTTAAACCCATGGCTGCAATTTTTCCATATAATCCCAACTTTCATTGGAAAATGGTTTGGAACTCTCTTGTGGCAAATAAGCAGCATATTAAAAGTGATCTGAATTTCTCCAGCTGTGCTCTTTATATCAAGCAATGTTATAATGAGTTGATTTTGCACTTGAGCAACAAGTCAAACCGAGCGATCTCAAGAACAAGTCTCAAAATTAGACACATTCCAAATTTCAATCTGAGTCTTAGATCAATCCACTTAAAATATAGAGTTAAAACACTGAAATCAAGCACTCGGTCAAGTCATCACAACATTGATATCGGAGAACAGGCCTTCCAACTGTAGCATATAGCTAAATCTCTTTAGCCTACATTCTCCTGCATCCTTCGAAATCCATCAGGATGTTTGGGGGGACATTCAGGATTGAGGAATGTGGTGCCCAACTACTATAACTTTACATGAGACACGTACCCTCGTAACCCAGTTAAAGATTCAGCCTGTACCAATGGCTTTTGCAAAGTGGTGGATTTTGGAGGAATCAGGAGGGTTCCTATGAAACAGAGCTAGGGAGTCAGGACAACCAGGAGACTCACGACTCACTTCTCTAGCATCCATGACAGTGCCGACACCCACGGTCAGGGCACTGGTTGGGACTCTGGAGATGTCCCCCTCGAAGAACCTGGCATTGGCAATGATCGTGTCGTGGGCTAAGGTCTTGACTCGTGTCCTGGACACCAGACTGGAGCCAGGCTCATTGAAAGCTATGTGCCCGTCCGGACCAATGCCTGACAGAAGTAGGAAGCAAATCAGAGACATAATGGCATGCTGAAACCAGAGAGACTAAAAAGGGCTCATTGCAGAATGTACAAAACTGTTGTATTTCCTGCATTCCATGCCGCAGAAACTGCGCTAACTTCAAATCAAGATTAAAACTAAAAGTCAGGACAACAGCACTGGAGAATAATAACGATTGTTAACCCTAACCCTCCTCAATCCTTCACCTGTTGGAGGACTGAGGAGTGTTAGGGTTAATGTCAATAATTTTTGTAATTCAAAGGATTACACTCTTCTTAAAATATTTCAAATACTATTTCCCCTTTTGATCGTAAAATATCAATCATCAACAATTACAGTAGAAGGAATCTTGAGTTTCAAAATGCATTTACTTGTTTCTTTTAAACTGCACAAAAGACGCCAAGGAACAATATGAAACACCATCCCTGTTAAAAAGAAAGGGACAATGATGCATATTTACCTCCGACAAATAATTCAATTCCACCAGCTTGTTTAATCTCTTCTTCGTATCTGTTACACTCTTCTACCAAGTCCTTGGCATTGCCGTCCAGAATATGGGCATTCTCGGGCAGGATGTCGATGTGCTTGAAGAACTTGTTCCACATGAATGAGTGGTAACTCTCTGGGTGGTCTCGTGGTAGGCCTGCCATTGACGTGCACGAACGGACAAAGTCAACATTTAGGAAGATCCCCTTGCCAGAAATTGGTCATGTCCTCAGTTCATTCTGTTATACAGAGCTCTTAGAAACTGTCTGGTTCCCTTTTTTTATTGTGGTCACTGAGCAGCCTCGCTTTGGTTACAAGGCTGTAGGATCCGCTCACCAACCGGCACCAGCTGGAAACCCTGGCTACTTGGGGTAGATGAAAATCATCTCTAAAATCTTTTGAGGTAGAAAGTGTGCCTCGAGGTTAATTATACACACATAGGTGCATCCGGTTGCCATATTGCGCTTTCAAATCATTAACTTCTGGTCGGACCTACTCACTGCTTCGTAACATTCTTTGACAAAAGGAACCGGATGGTTTCCAAAAGCTCTGTCTCAGCATTCCTTGCAACTAGAAAAGTAAAGGAACAAACTAAGAATTTAGCAATTTCATCAATTTATCCTACCCACAACAAGGCAAGGTTATTTGGCAGAAACTGTTTCAAATTTGTTCCATCCGGCATTCTCTTTATTCAAATATTTCAAGAGGCATCATGGGGTACCACGTTAACACTGACGAGACTAATACTTAGTGCCCCCTTCATGTGCAGACGTGGACACATCTGAGGTGAGTGTTTCAAAATTAACAGAACCTTGTGCAGTTGATGAAAGTGCCTGAAAATGAAGATTAACTAAAAAAGTAAAAGCCTATTCATTACTGGTGCAGATTCCATTACAATCCGTCTTACTCAAAAGATCGCAGCAACTCAGAGTTGCCAGCAACTTGGTACAATCTCAACTTCATCTAAAATGTCTGAGCTGACAGTGAAAATTTCTCAAGCAGAAAATTCAGGTCTGAAATTGGTCCAGGACTTTTTTTGCCCCCCCCCCTAAAAAAAACCGAGAGAGCTGAAATGGCTGACGTGGAGCAACGTACCTACATACTCATCCATGTTGAATGTCTTGACATACTGAAAGGAGAGCCCTTCATCCTTGTGATACTCTATCAGCTTTCTGTACATCCCCTCCGGGGTACCTCCTGCAGTCAATCCGAGAGGTAAACTTGTCACATACATCCTGTCTCAATTATAAATGGACGTCTTCATCAGACCGGGTTAAAAGTAGACAAGTATTTTCAGAATATCACATCCTACGATTGATTATCTGTTTTGCATTCCAGGAAATCGTCAACAATTAACAAGGAAATTTGAGTACACAAACAAAAAAAGGATACAATTAATGATTACAGTTATTAATAAAAGCTCTGATTCAGTACAGAAGGATTCTATTGATGTGTTGCATTTTCCACTGAAATGGATTTGTGGACCTTGTGCACAATTCCTCAACTCCCTCCCCTGATGATGAACTAAGATACGTATAGGGCACGTATTACTGTTGCCATGTACTTGGTGTATAACCTGTCAGATTGTGCCTATTCAGATGAAAATCTGTCACTTGTTTCAGTATACAGATTCAAGCACTGCAGCTCCCCCAAGCCACAGTACAAATTTTACTGTTGCACTATGGGGGTCCCTGACAACAGAAGTGTCCAAATCTGAACAAATTTGTGGTAACACAAAAGTGACAATTCTACATATATGGAAGCCAACTCCAGCCAAGAATACGCAAATTCTTAACGGTGCCCGAAACAACATCCGATCCAACTTCTGATTGAGCCAAGCCTTAGGATGCCGCATTTTGCTCTCACCTGTTGGCAAGCCAAGTGTGAAGTACTTGTCAGGTCCAGGGTTGAATTCCAAGATCCGGTTCCTCACATACTTGGCCGCCCATTCACTGGCCTTGTTGTAGTCATCAAGTATCACCAGCCTCATATTGCACAACAGACTGTCAACCTATCGTAAGGACCATTGAAAAAATTATACTTATTAATTAATAATATTAATTATAAATTATAATTAGCTTTGCTCGTCTCACAGAGATACATGTAATCATTGTTTACAAACAGGTGTTACTGTCACACAGCTGTCGCATTCAAAGCAACTCACAAATTTGATTCAATCTTAAACTTTCCATACAAATCATGAGTAACTGCGCTGTAGTTCGTCACTGTCATCGAGACGCAATCCAACCATTTTAAATGTCACTTTCATGCGAGCGCAAAAAAATAAAAGACAGACATAGGAGCCACACTGTAAATAGTTAAGCTGTCTTGCAGCTGACAACGAAAACCCTTCAACTGACATGATTGAGTGAGCACTGGCTGTGAGTCTTGCATGGTGCGGGTAAACACAAAATGGGCACATTTCAGTATTTTCATCATCTAATGAATAAGGTACACGAATCCTCCCACCTAACTGACATCAAACTATATTCTGAAAGGACTTGTGAAATCTGAGGGCGGAAATATTTGTGACAGCAGAGAAATTCCTTATGATCAAAGTAGGGAAAGATGCGCTATGCACTGTCTACATTGCAATCCGTAAGGTTTGTAAAAACCTTAGTGGCGAGCATTCCATATATACAGACAGCAGTAATTCCTGTTCCCCACAGTGACCTAATAGCCATCTAGAACCTGGAAGCAATCAAATGTCCCAAAATGTCTAATTTGGCAGGATAAATATCGAGGTATTCACTTAGAAAATACTTCGAATTTTTCATGGCAAGCCCATTGAGCGTCGTCCGTGTATGGAATACCTTCCCCTACAGTTCAGGAAGTACGCATAGGCAACTTTCAGGCTCTGTTGCCAGCTAGGTAACCACAACATGCCCAACGGGTAGTGTGGGGAGCTGAGCATGCCGAGGGTTAGTGTAAGTAACTTGGATTCTATGAATCATCTCTTTTAACATTTGGACATGGTCAGTGATAGTTAGACTGGTGACGTTAGCTGAGGGGCTTTACAGTCACTTTGGCCCATTTCCACTCCCCCGACCGCTTTGCCCCCAACTACATTGCCACTTCGCCCTATCCCCACTTCGACCCATTGCTCCAATGTAAACTTTAACGTCTTTTGGCTTAGTTTTAATCTACTGGTGAAAGTTGTAACGTCGGCAGTTTATCTGCCCAGCCAAACTGAAGGTTCAAGTTCAGGCAATTTGCCAGGAAAATGTTACATAAAAATGAAATAAACATGAGCATCCTATTAACAGTCTGTAGACGTCAAGTCTATGCAATGTGGGTCAATACAGAGTCATGTCACACGACCAGGCAGTTGCCCTAAATACAGTGAACTCCTCAGCATAAGGTTATAGACCAGCTTCCATAGACAAGAGTGATAAATATCTCCACTTAAAAAAATGAGGAAAAATACTCACAAGATTCAGTCATTCAAGACACATATTATAAATGAAAACTCACTTCCTCATCTTCTATTTGCCTTTCAATTTTCTGTGGCTTAACCGATGACTTTTGAAGATAAACCAATGACACATTTTGAATGAGAAAGTTTTTGGCAACAAGAGGATGACAATTTACAGGAAAAATTGGAAATTACTATTTTTACCGTTTTTACACACTAGCAGATATGACTGCGTGATCTGATAATTCTGTCGAACTTGCTATAATCATGATTACTAAATATTATAAATATTATATTAGCAACCAGCATGGCTATGACCGGCATGACCACTGACTAGTTCTACTGAGAGGAGCGTTAGTATATGTATTCCTCTTTTTCGAATTTTGGACTGGATCGCCGATCCAGTCGAAAAAGAGGAAAACTAACGCCGGCTTCACTCAGAATAGAGCGCTGCAGCTAGACCACCGACCACCAGGGCATGTTTATTTCATAACAAAAATTCAAACTCGAAGTCGAACAAAATCTTGATTTTCCCCTAAAACAACGTCTTACCAGGAAATGGATGGGAGAAAGTATCACGACCTCAAAGATGAAAACTGCTTTTCCGAGTACTTTAGCAATAGCATGGTGACTGAGTGTGCTGTGCTCAGAAAAAAGATTAACCGCCGGGTTGTACGCCCATTTTGTAGGAACTAGGTACTAGACCAGATAGTGTGCGACAATTCCTACTGTAATAGTCTGATACCAAAGGGCACATGTGCTTTTTTTTCAGTTCATGACAATAGTGGGCGCTATTTACAAATACAGGTGGGAAGGTTAAGGTTGGGTTGGCGTATTTTGGCGACCTGAACCATCAACCTGTTAAGCTTTTACGCAACCAACAACTCAAAGGAGAAGTGACTAAGCTTGAGGTAAAAATGGCTGGGGGGGGGGGTTACCAAGCACCCCGCCCTCCCAAAGAGTCACTGGATGGTGGCTCTCCGAATATGAATGAACTTACCCGAGATGCATCAATAAGCGACGACCGCAGAAATCGGAAACTGGGGTTTTAACCCTTAAAAAAAACGGGAAAGAAGTTGTCTCGACATTTCAGATGTTTTTTTCAAAAACGTTTTGCGCACAAGAACAAAAACAAACATTGCCGGGCAAGTGCACGCCGCCAGTGGCGTTCGATTGTCGCCTAGCACCTATCACCGGTGAGGGTACTCGTACATGTAAATGTAGTTCGCTCTCCTCACCGCCCTAAGCTTGCACAGAGTGATATTGCGTTATCCCGGGTGGACGATCGAGATATATACCCCCAACTTTTTGACCAGCGGGATAGGTTATTGAATCATCCCGCTAGTTATTGTTGATGAGAAAATTCATGGTGGATTGGGAAGAATACGATGTATGAATTTGAGTTTGATACATATTACAGATGTACATTTGCGTCACGAACATTACCCCTCCCCATTTTTCATGGTGTAGCACTCCCTTCCCCCGCGTTTCCTCGCCCAATCTCCCATCCCCCGGTGGCGTATCCAGCGGGCCTTGTCCCCACCCCCACGGATTTGTTTTTCTTCTTTGTTGGACTAAGAATATACTTCATAGGTAAGTAGCAAATAGCACCGAAACTCTAAGAAACAACACTTCGAAATAAAAGCAAGGATTTCGGGGCCGTAAGGCTTTTGATATTTTTTCTCCCCCGCGGTCAAATTGAATAAGCCCGAAGGCGCATGCTCTCTGGAATTCCCCCTCCCCTCCCCGACACCAAGTTGAGAAACATAAGAAAATCCATCAAAGCTTTTGTACTTGCTTCAGTCTGGTTTGGGCGTGGAGACTCCCAAATTGTAACCAAAGGACTTGAAAAAATATCGCTCACAACACAACCTGTTGGTGCCAAGTGCACGTATATGCATTCTTGGTTTTAATCCACCACATTAATATGTCACATCGTCTTGCAATTTGACCCAAATCAACATAACTTTAAACATTTCTAAAATCTGCAAATATGTCCAATCCATCAGCACGAACTTCAACCTGTCTAATTATACAGAATTCTATATGATACAGGATCTTCCTAAGCCCTCAAAACGTACGAATTATATACAAATAATGCAGTGAATAGGTAGAGAATATCATCATTTGCCGTTCACATTCATTGTCCCATTGTCGTGAACTGAAACTACGACAAAATTCAATAAAAAGTAACAAATTTGTCGAACCAAAACGTTCTTGGCCAGCCGAGTCGAACATCGTGACCAGTAAATGTCGATCGTTTAAGAATTTCCGTCGGTATCTTTTCGCATTGTTATCCCCGTCAAGTGATACATTTTCAGCTTCAAAACTCCGGCCAATCCAGACACTATTCGTTTACACAGTTAGTAATTGAACCAGCACAGGGCTCACAGAGTCCTTTTAAAACCATAATCTTTAAACTCATTTTCACATCTACATAAACTTTGAAATATTACATTACATACCTGCGTGTTGAATTTACCCTACAAACAATAAGAAGTTTATGTATGTTCAGAACGTGTTAAGTTAAAATCACTTGAACACACTCCGGATCGCACGTTATATCCCCAAGCTTGTCTGTGCTATTTTTTATCAAAGTTTCAATACAAAAAGGTGCCAAAAATGAACATGGAAATCAAACGAAAAAGAAATGTTCAGAGCTCCGCCCTCCAGCGATTTAACGGCTCATCACCGCCAAACTTCATTACCTTAATTTACTACCCCTTAAGTCAGTGGATCAATTGACTAGGTGTCTCGGCAATTTCTCGGTCTCCGTAGCAGAAAAAGACACAAATCGCCGGTGGACACGTTTTGGCGGGAAAATCTCACGACCAATAACGCAAAAGAGAGAGAAAGCGAGCGAGATTGAGTGTAGTATCGCCTGCAAGATTGCCAGTCGACACGAGCGGTTCAATGTCTCATTGTGCCCGGCGATAATGGTGCGAAGGGTCGCTTGGCGTGTTGGGTTACGGCGATTCCATACACTCAGCACTACATTGCCGCTGGACAGTTTGTTCATTACATCAGAATGATAAACTCCTTCCTTTAAGATTCCTAATATGCTGGAACTGTGCGAGACAAATCTGCCGTATCAGTGAGATACTCCCTACCGTCGGCGTGTAAACGCTGGCATTTGATACAGCTGTGCACTGTTGCTGCCGTGCTACGTTCTGCTCGGAACGAGTCAGGAACTCCAACTGATGGTTATACATTTTTCATGCTCTGGCGACTGTACTGTGAATAGACTGTGCGAGAGCCGGATATCTCGATGATTTAAAACACAAGGTGAATCAAAAAGAAATTAAAAACATAAAGAAATTACCCCCCCCCCCGAGAGTTGAGCACAACAGTTACTCTTAAACAACACCAGATCTGTTATCACTCAGAAGCGATCATCACCCGATACTCGGCATATCCCCAAGGCCCATTTTAAGCTAGATTGACTCTAACATCTGATATGGTTGTCATTGCTTTGGACAGCAAAAAGGTCCCCGGCTCAATATCTAAAAAAAAAAATACCACTTGAAAGTAATACCCTGAAAGATCCGTCGCCTAAGGACTTCGGATGTTTAGAACACTCTACTTGCCCATTGACGCTGAGCAGCCTAGCCTAATCGTTTGCCAAAAGTGTACCGGGATCCGTGTTTTACTTCCCTAAGATCTTATCAACAATCTCATGCGTCGATGCAAAAACCCACAGCATGCGTGAAGACATTTCCAGCATGCATACATCATAGGTCTACACTGTGTGCAATTTATTTGACACCATGTTGTTTTTCTAAAACAAGGTCTGCCCATCACGCATTCATTGCTGACGTTCGCGTTGTACTTGCCAATAAAAAGAAAACTTAATTTTGGTTTTCTATCGCACAATGAAAAACTATGTGTTAATTTCAACTACTGTGTTTATTTTACACCCTGGTTTGAACACTACTGAAACTGCGGTGTAAGATTGGAACTGTTTTTGTTGGCTCTCCCGTCTGATACCGATGCTAGACATAAACCAAAAGTTCCATTTGTGGTAACCGGCTCATTTTGTTGTTGACTGCAAAACTGTATGGGATCAGAGATTTTACACCACACACAGCTTATGCACAATAGAAAAAGTGACGGGTGAAAAAGTGCAGACTGCGAAAAGCAATAAAGCTACACTGCAAAAACTGGGGTGCTAAATTTAACACCCCCGATGTCATCAACACTTTTTCACTGGTGTTAAAAAATTTGTGTTATTTGGTGTTACCTTTAACACCCTCCAGTGTATTGCAACACTCATGGTGTACAAATAAACACCAGCGGTGTTAAAGTAACACCCTATGGTGTGGTCATCTGATAACACCAAAAAGTGTTGATTTTAACACCAGAGTTTTTACAGTGTATGACCCGCGTCTGAAAATAAGGAAAATTCCCAATGAAAATGACTGGATTTAACGACAGCTGAAGATAACAGCCACGATTCCTCGGTCGTTGCCACTTTTCTTAATCAGCAATTAAAGCGCCCGGCCGCAGGGTTTCAGCGCCTGCGGATTAAAGGTGTAGTTTCCACGGCGAAGTTGAATGAACTCTCCAATTAAAATTCATTATGTGTCAATCCGATCGGCAGGTTGGATCTCCCGAGACATTCACTTCGAGGCAGAAATGAGGTGGCGACTTCCACTCACTTTCTCAACTTGGTGAATTCTGTCAAGATGATGGACGCTGTGTGCATTAAGAATTCTGCTCCGTGTAACATCTCGCTTTATGGTACGTGTCAGTACGGACTGAGCGTAGCACAGCTGTGGCCCTATGTACAGGATACAAAAATTAACTTCTTTTCTGCGTCATTTTCAGGCAACGAATTATGTTCTCCTTGAGTTCGGTATAACTTTGGGTCTTCTTTTCAAACTAGCGTCCTCAAAAAGGCTGAGTTATACAACAGCGGCTCAACATTGTGGCGTACTTTTGAGCCACATTTTGAGCCCCCATTCAATTAATCGAAAATATTAATCCAGAGTTTGTCAACATGTTTATAGTTTTTGCTCCGCCCAAACATGGCCGAGACACTACAGTCTGTTGCACTGAAACACGATTAGAGGCTGTGTGCCTCGCTTTAAAATGTGAAATATAAATCGCAAAATCTGCTTCTTATTCAAAGCAAACATGGGAGTGAATAAAACCCATAACCTTACTATTATTAGTCGACTAAGGTCCGCTTTAAAAAGATGTTTGGTGATGACCCTTTGGAAAAATTTCGTATGCTCTAAATCAATGAGTTTTTTTATTGAAAACGTCTACCATGTGGTGAAATGCTGGAATTTTTGTATTACTAGGCTATGAGACAGTGCAGTAATGTGCACCAAATTGTACCGTATCAAAGAAAATGTGAAATCTAACTACAATGTATACACCTTGACTAAATTCCTAGAAAATCACATTTTTGGCACTGGTTGAAACATATAAGTACGTGTGGCAAGTCTGTGTGTTAACATAAAAAAATTAGACGTCAGCAACCTGGACTGAGTTTTAAATCGTATAACATTGCACAAAGTATTTACCTCTATTTATACAAAATAACTATTGAAGGTAGATAGAATCGACGTTTAATTCCGACACGTTCTTTGTACAGCGCCCCTCCTAGCACATCATAGTTCTGGTTAACGGGTGTCTGCATAATGCAAGATAAACAGACGTCCAGGTTTCAGACCTATACTTTGTCGAAGACTTTCACTTAAGCGAACGGTGCTGTTGTCCATTGCACGCTATTTATTTGTTCATTTTTTTCGCGTTGAAAACAGTCCTTCATGCTCACGATGAATCGCACAATTTCAAAATCAATGGTCCTGAGAAGATGACTGGCAGGACACAGGCTTTTTCTCAAGTGAAGGAAAGAGTTTTTTATACCGTAGGCACGATAACAAAGCCGAACTAGGAGTTTGCAGGGCCGTTTACAAAATGACTTTGTAGAACATCAGAAACAAAACAATGACTTCGTGCACAAGGTGAGGGCTCCAGAAAACACAATCAATTTGGTTTTTGTGCACGGTGGAGGTGGCAGTCGGAATTTCCCGTCTGTGCGGCCTACGCCGGCGGCCCGGCCGCTGCCGCGAGCTGCAGTCAGTAATTGAGGGGGAATAGCGAGGCGTGGGACGGCCCCTTCATGTGAGACGACTTGATGGGAGCGTGGCTCACGTGAGGCAAAGTGGGGAAGATGGTCGAATAGGGCCCGTGGATGGCCTGGGTGGTAGACGTGGTGCCGGTCCAGGGCGTGGTCAGGGGCGTGGTGGTACTGACGCCGCTGGGTGTGCTGGTTAAACCTGGGGGTTTAAAGAAAAAAGGAAATACTCAGCAATAGCCATAAAGGAAAACAGATTTCTGTGCTATTTAACAGCCTTAGGTGGCATTCTCAATCAGACCTCGGCCTTGTAGTAACTTTTTTAAACTTGGCATAATTGTGGTCAAATCTATTGGATTTATGCGTGGAAAGTCATCCAAATCGGACAAAGCGTTTTGCATGCAGAAAAGGTCATAATCATTTCCGACAACTCCGAATGACTCACTTTCTCCTGTAAGGTCAATTAAAAAATACATATGTGATGATACCTCGTTCACGATGCCGTTTACATGAATCTCGTTTTCACCTTTTTAGGAGTGGGAAAATTTTTTAAGGTCATAAGGTCATGTTGATAAAAACGTGACGAAGGCGTCACGTACGCCATGATGCACCCTTCCATTAAATGTACACACCGCCCTCTACCATATTGCAGTTCAGTGATCTGGATCAATGTTCGAAATTTACCACTGACAGACACTTTTCTTTTAGCACAGATAGGCCTATCACGCACGGTTCACAAAACTAATGACGCAGTAGGCTCACGCATTTACAAAAGCATCCCATCTAGACGGGAGAAAACTAATGACCAAGTTTGTCTCGATAGGAATGAGAAGGAAAACAAGAGCATCGTGAGGGAATCGGAGAAGGAAATGGATCATGCGTGGCAAATACGGATAATCCTCACGGCGCTACGGAAAGACGTCTGGGAATAGTGCGGGCAGCAAAAACAGTACACTAACAAGGCTTATCAATTCTTAATACTAAAAGCCTGCTTAGGACTTTGAGCAAGTGGCCGTGTAAGTGATTTTCCGCGACAGTTTTTTCATCCCTGGATTTGTTCAAGATTGATTCTTTTCAGTAAGAGTAAGACGGCACAAAGGAAGTTAGTAACATCAAATGAAATATGGAATTTAGCATGAAATGGAAATTATAATATCTGTGCTGCGCGTAAGACAGACTTGAAGTCGCATCCCTAGTATTATTTTGAAATGACCATGCTTAAACTTGTTTCCACAAATGGTTTTTAATTGTACGGCAGTGTATAAAAATGACCTATAGCAATCCCAGTTTACTCGTTACTTAATTAATCATTGCAAGGTTATACTCTCGCAAAAGGGTACAGAAAAGAGGACAAGTAATGAAATCCGAAGATACAGTTGCTATCAGATGGAGTGATTTCCAGTTTACTTCTCAAGTGATACTAGAAATCACGTATTTGTCACCGGTGTAATTATCAAAGGTTCAATGCTGCCGGTGTACACAGCACAGCCGCAGCGCGCGAAGCACGCTCGACACCGGCCGTGTGCGTGCAAGACGCCGGGTTTGTCTTCTGCGCCGGCCCCTACTCCCGTCGCCGGAAAGTCGATCGACACGGCAATGAATTATTACCGCCAGAATAATGAAATGAATTTGCTGCGGCTTTAGTGGCGAAATAATCATGGACGGGAGACGAGGGAAGAACATGAGAAGATGATGGGCCTGACCAAGGATGAGACATCATTATCAATGTTTCATGTTTGATTTGCTTCCCAATTATGGCTTTCACCTGCATCTGCCCCCTGATACAGTCTTTATTTAGACAAGGGCTGGAGGTATTAATAAGACTCAACTTTTTCAATTTTTGGCTTTTTTGGGGGGGGGCTGCAAAATTTTTATAAACGACATGCCTTAAGACATTTTGCAGCAAACTATAGCAGAGTATGCGGAATGCAGCGTCTGCCGAAAAATTCTAGTTTTATTTGATGGTAACGTTTGTATCGATATTTTCATAAATAAACATCCAATTGGCTTGTGTTATGAATGTGGGAAATCGATGCCACGTGACCAAAAACACACGACATGTTTAACATTTAGCACCTGTATAATAATTTATCGTCCTTGCCGAAATGGACGACATCATTTTGACATGGGAGTGTTCTTTTCTTTTCAAATCCAAACCTTGTTTTAATTTCTTGGCAGTCACCTTAATTTGTAATGAACCATTTCTTGTTTTCAGTTTCAACTTCCTCCGTTCGGGGGGACACCGAACGCGCTACGGTTCTCTTAAACTATTTTTTATTTCTTGACGGATACTGCGAAATTGACGCGGGAAAACAACAACAGCGGAAGAAAAAAAAAAGATAGGTCAGTGTTAAAGCACTTCGGATCGTAAATTGCATCTTCGGGTTCCGTATAATACTCCGGGCTTGACACAAATGGGAAAAGGGGGGGTTCTGTCGCTGGTGCCTTGCTGCCTAATCGAATCGAAATTCCATTTGTGTTGCGCCAATCGGCCCCTATATGTACGCTGCCGTGGAAAGGCTTTTGTTTCGAGAGCGTCGGTATTTCCAACTGATTTTGGTGCTATTCTGCGGGGAGGGGAGTAATTGTGGAAGCTACAGCACCCGTTAAGACACGCACAAGACAGGGAAAAAAAAATACCTGCGCTCGAGCGGGATATTGTTTCAAATTTGATAAGAGCTGAGAGCGATATATCGCAGCAAACGTGTGCGCAATTTTCAGTATTTTTCGGTGCTTGGGAAACCACAGTACCGACATACGTTGGAAGATAAAAGATATTCAATTGTGTAGTGTCTTCCATGAGAAATGCAAAATTCGTTTAAAATTATGATCCCTCTGCTTTGATGAAAAAAGCCAAGTATTTTTGGAGGGGGGGGAACGAATAACTATCGATTTTAGGCCGACACCGAAGACAGCAATTTTTAAAGGGAGATATTTTTTAACAAAAACTAGGTTGCTGTGTGTCGTTCTAGAAACCAACAACTCTGTGCAACATCCACCGATTTGGTGGACGCAGTTTGAAATACGCCTTCAGCTGTGCATTGTTTTCGCTTCTACGAATGGTTCGATTTTGAGAACTTCCGCGCCTCTTACATGAACAATTTAACACAGGTGAAATTTAGTTTACTTAGACAAGGTTGTCACCAAGACATGTAGTAAATTTACGTTGTTTTTATTTTATTGTAAAGTAACCATATTCCAATCGAAAAGAAAAAAATCGGAACATTTTAGATCCGTGGATTCGTGATAGCCAAAATTAGAATTTACAGACCTTGATATTTTGTTTCCCGAGGACAAATATCTAAGTGCCAATGTCTGAGTAATGTTTTTTTCTTCATGCAGCGCCAGGCGGTCGGTAGTCATCAAGCCGCCCAACAGACAGCGTATTCTGTGCGGGTCATCTCTCCCCGCACCGTTTACTCAGAACCCTCGGTGCTTGTGTTCCCGTCCCGGGCCCGCTGCCACGAATCTTATTATGCAATTACTACCGATCGCCTTATCAAATATTTCCCGCAGACCGCGCTGGGTTCTTAATAGCTCCTAACTTCTATTAATGGAGATTGGGATATGAGTGCATATCCTTTGACGATGACTTGTAGGCTTTACCCCAGGGCCGCGGCCACGGTTGTTTTTATTAGCTTTTTTCCTCGTTCTCGGAGCCAAATCAAATCACGGAGGAAGGTGTATGCCCCCCGTCCGCGTGTCTTCTCCCAAACACATCTGGCCGGCGATCCATTTGGGCTGAAACCTGGTAATTGTGAATGTAATGGCAAATCATGTTTAGGAGCGGTTTTTGTTGGGGACGCTGCACAGCAGTCTTAAAAAGCCGGTTGCCGCCAGGAAGTGATAGGATTAGAATGAACCACATTCGGCCAGACTTCAGTCCCAATTTGTGAACGCAAAGCTTGAGAAGGAAAACTCGTCTCTAAATGAGTCTTTTTTATCACTTTTGTTGTTACTTATTTGATTTTTGAAGAACTTAATTTCAATCCCACATTATAAACATAGGCCTATCACAGCAAGAGGAAACGTTACCGATATGTCATTTCATATTTTTAATGTACAAGGTAATTTTTGCAATTATTTGATTTCAAGGAATTGCCCTCTCTTGAAATGTATCTTAAAATCACAGTTGTTATTATAATATTTATTCGCGCCCAAACTGGCAAAAGATCTTTTTTTACTCACGAGTAATAACAAAATTTGCAAGAATTTGCCAATCCAAAGGGTATTAAACCAAAATCGTTTGATCTGGACTATATAACACTGTGACGCAAATCATAATAATTATGACTCCCGATACGTTTTGCAAGCAAGAGAATGGCTGCTCAAAGCACTTCTGGGTATCGTTTGGACAGTAAATGCAGAATTCGCAGGCAAGGAGTCGCGCGCAAGTCTTTATCATGCGCATCAAGACGAAAATGAAATATGAACCTTATACAAACGAGAACGAACAAAAGGCAGTCGACATTAAAATTAAGATCGTGACGTGTACAACCAATATCCAATAACAGGCTGCGTTATATCATACCTGTTGGCGTAGCGGTCGAGACGTTCCCGTTGGTGGTGATCACCGGCGAGGATTCGTCACCCTTCCTCTTCTTGGTGGGCGTGGCGGCACTGACGCTTTTCACCGCCGTTTGCGCCGTGGTCTGTCCACCCGTCTGGCCGCTGCCGTGGTTACCCTGTGGTGTGCCGCCCGTGGCGTCGTTGGCGTTGCTGTTGGTCGTGCTGTCGTTGTTGGTGTTGCGGTTACTATTGTTGGTTGTGTTGTTGTTATTGTTGTTTGTCGTTGCGTTGGCTGCAGCGGTGTTAGCTCTCTCTGTTTTGCGGAATTTGGCCCTTCGGTTCTGGAACCATACCTACATGAAACCAATTCACAAAATAATCTCGAGAATAATTTGGAATAGCATAATGAATCACTCCCAAAAGAACTCGGCCCACTTGCTCTGTATTTTGTAATCAAACTCCGATCGATTTTGATGAGCGATTCTTCATTTTACACTTCTGGCATTTTGCCGAAGAGCTTTTTGTTGGTGACTTTCCGGCTAATTTTCCGGAGGGTAATCTCGAAGCCCCCCCCGTTCTAAAGTCGGTTCATTCAAAAGAGGTTTTTGCTTTGTTTTTTTATTGTGTTTTTGATCACTTTAACTCAATTTCGCTCCGGCAAAATCATCGGCGCTTTGGTCCACCGAACGCTTTCTTTTTTTCCCCGTCTTTTTCGCGAATTCCTCGATACAAAGGCAGAAAAAAGACTCCCGCTTTCGTGTTGAAAAAGAACACTGTGAATTACTTTCTGCCGGCCGAGCATTGTGCTTTGTCCCTGGTTTGTGAAATCAAATCATTCGGCTGTTTTCGTTTCATTGGATAGAAAAAACTCCGATAAATTGCAATTTATTTTACATCCGATCCTGAAAAAGCAGAAGAAATGATCAGACCTATAAAATGTCGCGCGGCACAAGCAGAACACATGTTGTATCGCTGGCTAATGTGACATTAATGAACAGAAGACTTCCTACATAATGGGCGGAACTTTATTTGTAAAGGGGTGGCTAGGGACATGAGCGGGGTTTAGCTTTTGGGGAGGAGATTCGTGTTTATGCCATAGAATCCCGGAGGGACACGCTAGAGATTGCTTCAAATTAATACTTCCCCGGAAATATGTTGAAGTCTAAATGCTTTCTGAGAAAAAAAATCAGGGCTTCTTCTAGTTAAGTCGAAATCAAAATTTTCAACCAATTTACTGTTTGTTGCAATATCAACAGTGGGGGGGGGGTGGCGGCAAAGCCTCCTGTACATCCACTGCTGACAAAAAACGTGAAATATCACTAAAAGTACTTACAATCCTAAGTGGAAAGACATCACATTTTTTTTCAAACTCCTCCAAGTCCATTTATTGATTTCTTTAATGCTGTTCTGGGCATGCATGCGCTGTACTCATCGTGTATTCCTCGGCTCCAGCAGTCGATGGAGAGAAGCATTTTAACGATTCCATTAATTTGACGAGAAATGGTTGTAATTGAGAGCATGTCGTTCGATCACTATTCTCCTTATATTTTCTTCTCTTCACGTCTATGCTTGTGAGCCCGTATCCAACACGATTGGGGTATTGTGTTCGCCAAGCTGGCATTTACATATTTTTGTCGTGGCTTTCACCTCAGATGCAGACCCTTTTTTTGAAAATTAAAAATCCCAGCCCTCTCCGATTTGCGGTGCTTGCTGGGTATGTGTAAAAGGGCAGACTCGCGCTCAGCGGACGACCGTGAGCAAGGTCCCCCACGCGGCAATCAGCGGGGCAGTAATCGCGGTGAATTCTGGCGGACGTCATGGCTGTCGAGGGGAATGTCACGTACGCTTGGGGTTGAAAAGAGCCCGCAAAATATCAAAATACACGACTTGTGGAGAGGGGGAAAAACGGCCCTGTTAGTCGGGGAGTGAGTGACACGTCTGGCCTTCAAAGCATTCACCCTTTGAAAAGTTCAAATTGTTCGGTCTGTGTTCCTGGAGAAGAAACGAAACTGCAAACGTAATCCGACTGGAGTGGATCCACTATAGTCGGACAAAATGTCTCTTTTCAGAATCAGCACGACGATACTATTTATTCCAAATGGTGAGATAATAAAAGCACCCGAGTTTGCCCTCATGTCTAGCTCCATGCACAGTAAAAAGTCTCGAAAGAAATATAACTGTCAAAACTAACATGGATAATTTTTTGGTGAAACGGCAAGCGTGATGTGCGGGTACATAGATCACTCTACAACAAACGGTGTGTACATGGACAAGACATTTTTGGACATTTATTTTGATGGGCTAAACTGTACCTAAAATACATTTATCTAAAAAACAAAAATAATTTTTTCCCCAAGAACTGAAACGGTGTCAAAGTCCGCGTTTCTATTTTTTTTTTCTTGCGCAAATAGTGGTTTCTTTTAACGGCGACAGGAACCGGCCGGGCAACCTCCCCGACAACGACGCTCCGTCAAAAGCAAACAGTCTTCCTCCCCCCCCCCGAAAAAAAGCTTTTGCCCTAAATCAATCAAACAGTACACTCGCCAAGATGGGCAAATGCCATCATCCGCGATTGTGCACTGTTTCTTAGAGCGCAGCGTCTACACTTCTTGGATGCTGCGACACAAAACAAACAGTAAGGGGTTTGTGTGGGGAGAGGGCCGGTAATTTGTAAAAAGCGGTGGGGAGTGAAGTCAGTCGATTTCCCCCCCTTCTTGCGGGAGGGAAACTCAATCCGTCATCTGCTGACAATGGTGGAGAGCTGCGCGTGTGAAGGAGTGAGGGGGGGTGGTGGTTGACTGCAACACTGGAAACCATTAAGGACAAGCGAAGAAAAAAAATGATAGAGCGAAAGTATATGGGAGGGAAAAGTACGAGGACAATGGAGAGAGAAAAGAGACAAGAAAATCGACATCGGCGGGGGGGGGTAGTAAAAGACCGAGAAAGGAACTTTGCCAGTGGTTTTTGTGGGGAGAGTGCTGGAAGTGCTTCGAATTTTATTGGAAATTAACATGAGGAAAATACGAAGGTGGGAAATTTGCGAAGTTAAATAATGTGGAAATGGAAAACTTGGAGACACTGATGGGTCAAAGGAGACTAGATGAAAACTGAAGGAATAAGTCTGGAAAAAGTTCGCTGTTTTTTTTTATTTATTTGTGTATTGTTTTAGAAAACCACTTCCTGTCTGAAGCAGACAAGTGGAACCCATGATCAGTGCAGTTGTCCTTATTCTTGGAAAAAAAACGGACACAGAAAATCGAGTATAAAATGGTCCTTTGGAGAGGATTTGAGCTCAGTCTCAGTTGGTATGAAACCGGAGACAAGTGTGAACGTGTACCTGTCGAGTCTGATAAAGAACAAATGCGATAAATTTAACAACGAAAGATTCCAAGAAAAACAATAGAAACACGCCCTTACACCCAAAAACAGAGAGTGATTTCCTTCAGTTTTGGGTCCAATCGTATAAATTTTTGAGGGAAGAATCTCCCATGACTTCTGAAATATGATTTTCATCTGAGGACCTCAACCTAACAATTGCGTACTGTCCTCAGTTCCCAAACAGGTCCTCGGTTGTATTCCTGTACAAACGCACGAAAATGTCCCACTGCAATCACACCCACCTGTACTCTGGCCTCGGTGAGGTCCGTCTTGAGCGCTAGTTCTTCCCTCTTGTAAATGTCCGGATAGTGGGTCTCCTGGAACGCCTTCTCGAGCTCCTTGAGCTGGGCGCTGGTGAAGGTGGTTCGAATCCTCCTCTGTTTTCGCTTCTCGTGCAAGCCGTTGGTGGTTGCCCCTTCGTGGAGGATACGGTGCATGTAAGGCACCCCAGCTGTAATGGGGGGGGTGGGCAATCGAAAAACAAAACGGCTCAATAACAGCTCAGAGATATGAGCAGCCCTTGCAGACTAGTGGTCGAATACTTTCCGCTTACAAGTTTATTGCGAGATATTATGATTGTCTAGTTTGCATGCAGCTTCATGATACGGACACTGGATAGTTAATACGAGAAAAAATGCAGAAATTCAGATATTCAGAATCCTGGATGAAATCTACAACTTTCAAAAGCAGAAGAAATTTTTCGGAAAGTACTCATCTACTTAGTTCAAAGTGCTTTTTGAGTACACTTTTGTCTGAAAGTTGACTGTTTGATGTGTCCAAACTCCCGGGGTTATTGTTTGTTCTCACGGGGACTTCATTTTGTTCCACACTTTCAGCGTTTCTCTTGCCATACTCGAACAAACGGCTCGGTATTTGGCAGTAAAAAATTACTCGTCTACGGCTTTGCGGGCTCTATCCGAACACCTCAAATCTCTTTCAAAAATTGTAGCGAAGGAGACGCAAACCTTTGTGGGTATAGCCTACCGCGATGACAGTAATGTACATTCTGAGCGCATGCGCAAGTTTTGAACCTGGGCTCTGGTTAAACAAAAATGTGCCCAGAGGGCGCTCAAAGAAATTAGCGGCCACCTATAGCCTCCACCCTCGCCTCGCAATCACGCGACGGGTACCAGTCATGTGTAAAGGTTACATCATCCCTCTTTCAAAGAAAAAATGAATTGATTGCAGACTGGCTCTTTCAGAGCCGTGAACTCATCGTTTTTTTTCAATATTCAGTATTTCAACCCAAGAGTCTTTTTTCTAGAAATTGCCTTTTGAATTAGCATTCGGTTGACGTTGGGATTGAATCGTGCATAAAATGAAAACAGCGGAAGAGTAAGTAACACGCTTGAGTGACGGGATGCTCAACAACAGGGGTTCGAGGGAAGAAAATGAGTCGGAAAAACGGGGAAAAAATCAAGAGAGCAGCAAAAAGAAACAGGATTGCAATTGCACATAGTGCAAACAGTCGATGCAGACTTTCTCGGTCGATTACTTTAAACAAACAACAAAAAGAGGAAAGCACTCCTCACAGCGGCAAACCATATCACAGTGGAAATACGCATTGAGTCTATCGCCAGATCATCGACCGAACAGAAACTCCCAGAGAAGCTGTTGCCTCATACGACAAGAAAACAGTCACACTGGACCGGGCGGTTTGGGGTCAGTGAAATGCAACTTGTAAACAATCAAATGGGCCTAATTCATGACAGGATTTTCGACGAGACAAGAAACCTTTTCTTAAGTAATTAATCAAACGATTAGATCTCAAGAACACAAGAAACCGTCAGTATTTTGGATAGATGTGTTGTGAGAGAGAATCCCTTTAGACTGTATATGGGGGTGGAAGAATGACTACATAACCAAGACTCCCTGGTTCATGTTGTAAAAGTTTTACAATTCATTCTGAAAGAGAAAAGAAATAACGTTTTAATGACGGAATGTGACTTGAACTTCAGTTCAACACGGAAATGTCTGACGTTTGGGCGTGCATGAATGCATCCAAGATGCGCTACGTGTTTATATTTTGAGAATTGTTTATCAACTCTTTGTTCTAACGTTATTTGAGAGGAATCTTAAGACAAGCGTGGAAAATATTCCCCGGAATCGAATGTAATTGTAGGGATTACCACAAACCAAACATGGTGAGATTAAAATCTGCAGTAAATTCTGTGTGTGTTTGTCCTCGAATGCACTGCACGGAAATATCGACCATTGCTAGCATCTCTTGCCATCCGCAACGGATGCAATCCATCATTACATTTCCTGTCTTCTCTTTGCTTGCATCTTATCGAGCAAGAAATGTCCTTTCCTCGCTCGTCCTTCCCCATTACCGAGCGCGAAAAGAAACCTTCACTGTCCCCATCATCTTTTTGTCCGTCTCGAGCTCCTTGTGTGTTTGCGTCCTTTTCTGGAGAGATGCAGCGCTACCGCGCGGAGTGGGGGGAGGGCAGAGACGGACAGAAGGGGGAAATATGGAAGATACCGCGGTATTTCCAATTGAACGTGACCTTGGGAGTGATGGCGTTGTGACTCGGAAACACAATAGAACAAAGGGAAGCGTGCCGGCTTGCTCTGTACGCCTGCAAGGACCTCTTCTCTTCGTGCCAGCGCGCAGGGAAGAAGTGAGGAAAGCAAATGATGCGTGTACGGGTTGGCAAGATGACACGAAGCCATTCTCTTCGTCGACAGATTGTATGTGAAAAGAAACATCCTGTCTGATGTGGAGATGGGTTTTTTTTATGACAGTTATTTCGAGAAAACCTCCCTTTTTTGTTTCTTCGTTAGACAGCAAGACTCCTTATATCATGGGTAACAGTTGCGAGAGATACACAAGTTGCTTTTTCTCATTGGTCTCTTTTCAATTTTCGTCGGGTGCAACATTCACCATACCGACGAAAGGAATTCCGCCGGATGCATTCCTTTAAAAATTAATCTAGATTGAAAAAAATTTCAGTAGGCTTCTGTGACATTCAACCCCATAAAATATCGGGCCGTTAGAAATGGATACTTATTCATCGACACGCCTGAACTTCATCAGACAAGCAGGAAAAAATGTCATAAGTTAATTTTTTTTGTTAAAGTGACGTAATCTCCTGCGTCAAGAGAGGTTGTCACGTTCAATTTTCCATATTGAAAGCAAAAAATAAAGGCTAGAAATGTCAACTGCTAAGCAAAAAATTCCCCCTTAACGGTCTCGGGGAAAAACCAGGGGAATTGAAACGAGGACAGACTATTTTGCTTTCTCCAAGAATATGTTGGAAGTCTATACGACTTGCCCTCGAGCGTTGTGCGTGCACGGTGCCGGCTGACATAGTACGGGGCAGCGCAGCGCGCGAGGCGAGCGGGACCCATGCCGTTCGGGCACGGTCTGGCCGTCGAACCGCGCAGGAGCAAGGTGTGTTTGTCAAGCTGTGTGGCTCCGGGGCCCCGATTCTATTTGACTAGAGCGCCTCCAGCAACCGCGGCGCTCTCCACCGGTTTCCTTTTTTAAAGAGAGCCTGTTGTTTTGACTTCCAAAGAGCTTTTCTTCAAACCCACGGTAGAAATCAATAGAAATATGTGATACGACGGGGGGGGGGTCTCTCGAGCTAATGATGTCGTAAGAAAATTAAAAACGAGCAAACCTTGAAGTGCGACACTCAATATTGTCATTGGATGCTGACTTTATAATTACCCTGTCTGTTCCTGCGGTGATAGGTACTTGGTCAGAATCATTTCCGGACATTTGCACTATTTCTTGTGTCAATGACTGAAGTATATTGTCCCTGACCTACATAAGTTTGTCAAAAACCTATAGCAGGCATGCGTTTGTGCTCAAACATTTAAATTTCAGACAACATTTTTCAAGATACATTTTAAGATTTCGTTAGAAGTTATGACTTTTTTTTAATGAAATTTCCTTTGATAGAAACCAATACAGTCAATAGAAATCACCAAAGATATTAACCAAGTGGGATATTTATTTTAAAAAACGGCGGATTAATAAAGTTACACAGGATTCAGATGTAGAATTAATCAATGTAAAACGAAAGGTTACCGGTGGAATGGACATGCAGTTGGTGGAAATTTCATTTTCTCAAGGAAATCGGTCCGGATGTAATTTGTTTTTCGAAATGACAGCAAGGCGACACGGAGATCTAACCAGACACGGACACCCCCTGCATTTTGAGATGACCGCGTACATAGGCCGTAGTCAAATTCAAACAAACATTATAATATACAGCCCATTCCGCGTCGTCTCTTTAACCCGCGCAAGCCAGCAAGCCATGTGAGTGATTGCCGGAGCGCACGGTTGATTTGAGACCTCGGTGTTTTGCGCTCCGGCGGCGGCGCGGCCCATCCTGCCGAGGCTCACGGTGACTTTCCCCCCGGGGGGAGTCGGCCTACCCGAGAGGTCTCCACGCACGAATCTCCGCGCCTGCCTCGCGCGCCAGCGCCACCGAGTAATCACCCGCACACTTTCCGGGGGGCAGTTTTGGCACGTTACACGTTCTTGCCTGATAGGTCAAAGATGTGTCCCCTTCCTTCCGAAATCACCGGGATATGTGTGTTTCCCAAGTCCACACTGTTTTTGTTCCCAATCCATTGGAGTATGTTGTCTTTAGCTCCAGGGGAAAAAAAGGAAAAATTTCAGGTTCCGCGGGTGTTACTCAAGAGGGCTGACAACGGTTCAGTAACCCCACACACCTCCGATGAGAACCATAATGAACGCTATCCATACAATTTTCATGAAATGAGCCCTGCAGCTTATGACCTGTACAGCAGTGAGTGATCAGGGGTGCAAAGTAACTCCAGGTTTTCTCTTTAAAAAGTTTCCAATCGGTTTACACAGAAAATAGTAAATATAAAGATGCATTTGAAATGTGCACCGATGAAAACCTAAGAGTAACGACGGAAAAAAAACGAGACAACATGAAAATTCATTGAACACGCACGAGAAAGAACCGCGACGTTACAGACAAAAGGGATCCGACGAAGTGCTTACACACAGTGACAGGACAAGACACCATGCTGCATCTCTGCACCTAGGAAAACAACGAACTAGGAGAACAAATCCAGTCGACTAATTCCTAAAGCAGGGCAGTCTCTCATGAGGAAAGCACAAACGACAAACCCGTGTATACAAAACAGTACAAAATCACAACACACTTCGTACATTCAAGGCAAGCAAGAGCATGTACACAGCAGCAATAGAACAATGCCGAGAGGGGTGAATGACATATGCACGGACATACATGTGCACAGAGTAAAAGAAAAGAGGTGAAGTTAGGAAGAGTGACTCGGGCGACGAATACACTGTGGGAAACATGACGAGAGGCGAACTGAACTTTGCAAGCAATTGGTATTTCATGCTATTCGTGTGACCAGCGTAAACCGCAGTGCGAGGAGGGGAAGAAATTCCGCGTCACGCGGTGCGGTGGGTTAAATTGTGAAGGAGAAATGCATGTGATTGCAAGCAATGTGGGAGAACAAAATGAGCGACCAGTCATGGAAAAGAGGTCTTCTCATGCTTCTTGTTTTACATGGGTGAAATGTGAAGGCATGTTTTTAAAGAAAGTGCAGAGAGTGAAGGTAAAATAAAGTGTCAGCCTACCATACTGTTGAGATGACGGCGATCGACCACTGCGGTAGGCTGTATACAAAACGACGCAAGGAAAAACAAACAAACCAACATTTTATTGAATTGATTGGATTTACCACATAGGTGCTGCAAGGTTCGGTTTTTTGATCTTTTAATGGTGATAATATTTGCCATCTGGGGCGAGAATTCGTTGTAAGAACCGGAGAGGATTGACGGAGAGACAGGCCCGCCTATTACATAATCTTCCCGCTGCATCACACACACAGTAGTGCACTAAACGGCATTTACAACCACTGCACGTTCGTAAGCCGCGTGACGTCTGGAAGCTATACGGACAAGAAAATGTTCCCGAAAAACTGAACAAGTCTGAAATATAATAACTGTTCTCCGAGTGAAAAACATAAACTATAAAAGACATGTTTTTCTCACATTCAGCGAAATCACTTGAACAAGTCACTAAAAGCGAAGTGTACGAGTCATAAGATATGACTTGTTCTCTGGCAGCCATCTTCGATACGTCGTTGTTGAAGATGAGTCTGATAACTTGCGCAACATGCCAACAGAACGCCAAACATACGTCAGGGTACATTCCGCCATGCAGGCGCACCATAAAATACACAAGAAGTATAATTCAATGTTTGCAAGCGGCACATCATGGACTTCAGAAAAATCAACGAAGACAAAATTACTGAACAAAACATCCGATGAAAGTAGCTGGATTGATGGACAAAAACAAGGGAAACCCGTCAGTTGAAAGACATTAGAAACTACCCTACATGATTCCCATCGTTGTTTACATTTTGAAAAGTGCAAATTGTATTTAATAAAAGTATTTGATTTCGAAGGAAACTATTTGGTGTCTAGATGTAAATTCAAGGTCCTTGCTCTGATGAGAAAAATATAATTTCGCGTTCAACATCTAGTCTTAAGATCGAAGGGAATCTTCGAGAGACGAAGCCCTTGAACACTTGCCTTGAATTCCCAATAAAAAATTTCCCGTCCAATTACAATGCATTTTTTTTGCATGCGCGTTATTTTCACTCAGCGCAGGTTTAATCTACCTATTTCTCTCAAGTTCCCTTGGCATCCATTCAAATCGTCCGTGTGATGGAATATCCCGATATTTAATCATGGCGGCAATTTGATTTCCTGGCGATTGTAGAAGCTCCGATTTAATTTATGCCTCGGCGGCTGCCCAGTGCCCAGGATGGCTCCGTAATGCTGTTAGATCCCATCGACCAGGGGGAGATACATTGTCTGAAAAGATCATGTAATAATTTATTAACTGGATCAGGATTGAGTTAGGGCTTCGTCTATTCAGCCAATCACTATATCATTGGCTTGATCAACGCACAACATGTATTCAATGCGTGCTATGATATCATAACTCGAATACACGAACTCTCCCGTACACCTGTTATGTAGTGTCTGTCACTTAGAGGTTTCGTTCTGTGATCTATAAATCACATGCTTATGTTATTCTCCTTTGAAACTCCTCAACTAAGGCAATCAAAGATGATCTGACATAAAAAGATGTGATATGCCCTTCCATTTTGTTTTCCCGAATTCTTGTAAAATCTGACAAAAACAAAATAGGATCACGGAAAGAACTCATAATTGCAAGGAACAACATTATAATTTAAGGTTAGGTAAATGAGACAGAATGTGAACAGCTTAGTGAACAATGCCGTGTAAACTTCGTTTATTGCAGCAGTAAAACAATAAAAATAGATGTGCACGCGGAATCCCTTTTTAAAGTTATTTTTTTCAGGGACTAAAAAACCCAACTCACTTTTTTTTAAGAGACAACTCCCAGCTTTTGGAGCCAGAATAAGGAATCTTTTTTCAGTCTAAAGAACCCACAACACAGTATACATTTTGAACATACATGTCAGTTCGTCACGAGTGCGGAGATAGCGAGTAATTGAACGCAAGACGTCGCAGAAGGGGGGAACGGTCGTTGCCGATCGCTCGGGGACAGAAAAAAAGACGGAAAGAAAAAAAATCAAAGGAAAGTGCAGTCGCGAAGCCTGCCCTTACCTTCTCTGCAAATTAATACGTTTTAAGATGCGGCGTTTGAGGCCCGGTCCGGCCCCGCCCCTTCGTTTAACAGCCATTTCTTCACGAGCATACGAAACAGTAAGCCCCGGGGCAGCCTGCACTATTTATGACCTGTATTATTGGATGATTTGTGGGGCAAAGAGAGAGGGGTAGACGCGGAGAAGGGTGGTGGTGAGGCAATGTCATTTTATTGGTCCCTGTATCGGTCGGTGTTGTGTGGTCACTGGAAGGTGGTCTGGGTATCTCCACGACAGCAGGCACCCGTATCAGCAATTTAATCACTGCTGAGGAATCACACACTGAGAATTGTGTTCGAGGTTCCATCTGCGGGATTATTCTAGCCGTCCCCTCCGCACAAGTTACATTTCTGGCCAGACCACTTTTCAAATTGCGCATACATTACAAGTAGCGTGATTGTGTTACGAAATGTTGGTGCATGCGCATTCATGTTTGCGTGATCATGTTTCCTTATTGTAAATGATTATTTCCTGGTAATTTTTCCTGTGCATACTATATTGTGAGAAATCAAAGGCACAAGGTTTTCTAAAATAAAAATGCTGTATATCATTTTATAAGTGAGCAAATATTACGTATTTTTACTTCAAACATCAGTCTGTTATAACGATGTGGGCTTAAGCAAATACATTCTCGTTACAAATTGGAGGAATCATGATAGATTCACCGACAAATGTGATAAATAATTCTTACTTCTGACTCATGCTCTTGTAGCACAATACGCTTAACGTAAAGGTAACTTGCTTTTAATAAAAAGTAACTGTTCCTCTATTGGTGAACGAGGATAGGGGCACAAAGGTCAAACTGGCGTGCTTGTATTCGCAGTGAGCCGCGTCCGAAATCCCCAGCTACGGCTAGGAGACAACACGACAGACTACAGCTGGAAGACACGTTAGCCTAGTAGGGAGCCGCTACCGAGCGATAGCAGCCATTTCCATCAGAAGATTTTGTGTAATTTTACCGGCAGCGGCCACGAAGAAGATTCGGGCATGGCTGTAGATTGACTGCGTTGGCGTCGGCTGCGGTGCATCGCTTACTGACGCCACCTCAATACCCCCCCCCAAAAAAAAGGTGTGACAGAAACAAAGCGATGAATTTACTGATGACTGTTCCCATCTGGACAACAACAAACATACCGTCAAATTAATCGATACCCCATGGCCTAGTCGAGCAACTGTATAATGGTCGGTCGTTAGTAAAAGCATCGATTAGAGAGCAAATCAAAAATGGACAGTATTGAAATCGAACAAAGTTCATGGGGTAGTATAGGCCCGAATATAGCCCACAGATACATACATTACTGTTAGAATAGTACATTAGGGACTGTCAAATAGAGGGATGATATCAAAAAGAACAACTACTCTCCTAATCAGCAAGAAAAATGTTGTTTGTCTATCTACTTGATGATGACTCTAATCGCGAACTTTTAGAACAGAATAAACTTTGATGGGGGGGTGTCATTGAACTGATGCGAATCATAAAAATCGTAGTAGTAGTTTTTCATTTGTGCGATAGGCACCCGTCAGGTCACAAGTGCGGCCTGTTACACCGAGGTGACATATCACTATTCGAAATGAAATCACTTTGTTATCGCAGGGGGCACGCAACGATATGCCAACATGTAATTAAAAAGGTACACAAAGTCAAGGGTACGGACAAATCGACATGGACGCAAATTACGCGCGTTGACATCAGCGAGGCATGCCAGATACTTGCCCGTATGCATGGCGTATACAGTTCCTCTCCTTGCAACATCCTGTGATGTGCCGCGGCCAATTTTTAGATTTATAATTTTTTTTCTCTCTTTCGACAATTCGCTTCCAGTGCCTGCATCGTTTCTCAAACGCGACTCCATGAACCAGATGAAACTACAACAAAACACCATCACCCTCCCCACATTTTTGAGGAACTAAGGACGATATCGTGGAGCAGGTACATAAAAATATACATGGAAATATCGTTAAGGTTTAGGAAAGGCATTCAGTAAAGTGTATTACTTTTCAAATTTGTTATTTCTTACTTAAAGATTTCAAGTAACACGTCACACTCTCTCCACATCAGTATGATATCTCTAGTATTGCATTTCGTTGCTTCAAGGTGCGAAGACATTAAAAATTGAAACAGTCAGAAATAGAGGCAAAGCAATCACCCCAAATGATTAATGATGATTTTGCTGACATTCACTTCGCTCAACGTGCTAGGGGACCACGTAATGCCCTCGACTGGACCCTGTAACCAAGGAATGATAATCCAAAATGGCGCGCGAGGGGAAAAATCTAATAATATCGCGTTTCATTGGGGCTATTTCTAATCAAACAGCAAACGAAGTCCTGCTCACGTACGCGGACAGAGTGCACCGAATTCATCACCCAGAGAGATAGAGGAGAGGTAGAAGGGGGAAAAAGATGAAAGTCTAGTTCTGGAATTGATTGAATTGACGCCCCCCAAATGGGTCTTACGCTGCCGGAATTGACTTGGTGATGGATCGAGTTCATTGCCATTCGATTTGTAGAAGGAGAGAAGATACGGGAGAAGAAGATAGGCTGGTGAATCGGTCGAGCGACGGACCTGTGTCTTGCTGCAAATGCTGCTGTATGGCCAGTCACAGAACTCTTCAGTACCCCCCCCCCGAAAAAAAAAAAACTGCCAACAGTTTTCATGCAGGTGCATGCATGCATATTCGCTAAGGTCTTATGAACTGAACATTGAGTTGCAAAGATGGAGGAAACGTTACGGAAGTCACCCGGATGAGACAACAACCAAGACGACCGACTCGACAAATCAGGCAGCTGAAGCGGAAAAGGGCAACTCTTTCGGTATAGTTGTAAATAAGAACAGCTATTTGACATTTTGGAATGATAAAGACGTCTTTTTGTGAACATGGCTAAATTTAAGGGCCATGTATCCATGATCTTTTTTTTCTTTACAAACAAAATGATCAACCGAATTGAGTGCACGGACCTTCATCATAAAAC